TGTCGTCCTCGATGCGTTGGCCGGGTCCGCCCTCTTCACAACCCTTGACCTGACGTCCGGCTATTGGCAGGTGAACATCGATCCCGACGACCGTGAGAAGACCGCCTTTACCACCGGACGCGGTCTGTACCAGTTCAAGGTCATGCCGTTCGGCCTCACCAACGCGCCGTCCACTTTCCAGCGCCTCATGGAACTGCTTCTCGCTGGCCTCGACTGGCAGACGTGTTTGGCTTACCTGGACGATGTCATTGTCTTCTCGCGGACATTTCAGGAACACCTGACCACCTTGGAAGAGGTCTTCCGACGCTTCCGTGCCGCCAATCTCAAACTGAATGCCAAGAAGTGCCAGTTCGCCCAGCCGCGGGTTCGTTTCCTCGGCCACATTGTTTCCAAGGCAGGGATTCAGCCTGACCCGACCAACACAGAGAAAGTCCAGCAGTGGCCGACGCCAACGTCAACGGCTGAAGTCAGAGCTTTCCTGGGCCTGGCATCGTACTACCGCAAATTCATACAGAACTTTGCTCGCATCGCAGACCCCCTGATTGCCCTGACAAGGAAACACGTTGCTTTTGTCTGGGATGACGCATGCCAGACAGCGTTTGAAACCCTGCGGGCTGCCTTGGTGGCCCCACCTGTGCTGGCATACCCGGACTTCACTGCTCCCTTGATCCTGTACACGGACGCGTCCAACTCTGCTATCGGGGCCGTCTTGACACAACCGGGCGAGTCTGGTGAACGTGTCATCTCATATGCAAGCAAAACATTGACCAAGCAGGAATGAAACTGGTCCACATATGATCGAGAGCTATTTGCCGTGGTCTGGAGCATTCGCCATTACCATTCGTACTTGGCGGGACAGTCGTTCTCAGCTGTCACTGACCACAAGCCCCTGATCGGCCTTAGCCCCAACCTTATCTCCACTGACCCGACCGGCCGACGTGCCAGATGGGCGATTGAATTGTCCACATATAACTTCGCCATCACGTATCGGGCTGGCAAGTCTCACAACAACGCTGACGCCATGTCTCGACGACCAACACCCGGGAGGACAGCCAACGCAGGACAGGCTACGGCTGTGGCACCACCACGGCCAACCCCTGCATCGCAACATGCTGCACAACAGCCACTTACTGACACTGCAGCCAAGGACTCAGCAAAACCAGCACCCTTGTCGACGACCCCAGCCACTAGCGATTCCTCCGTCAATGCTGTGGACCAACCACAGGCTGCTCCGGACTCTCTCACCCTGTCCAACCTGCAACAGGCCCAACGAGCAGACCCTGACATCGCTGAGGTGCTCCGCTGGAAACAACGCGGACGACGACCGCCGTATGCTGCTGTCCGTACCCGTGGCCGTTTTCTGAAGGCCCTATGGCACCAGTTCTCCACCTTACGAGTGACTGATGGACTGCTTTGTCGCCGCTGGCGACCGAACGCTCGCTGTCGTATTCTCCACCAACGAGTATTACCCAAACCGCTCATCCCGACAGTACTCCAACAACTTCACAACGGTCCCTGTTCCGGCCACCTGGGTCCTACAAAGACACTCCAACGGGTCTATATCAGGTTCTACTGGCCGGGGATGACCCAGGAAGTAAAGCGTTGGTGCCGTTCCTGTACCAAGTGCGCCACCCGTGCCACACCAACACCCTCCGCCCGAGCGCCCATGCAACCCATCAAGGTCAGCCAACCCTTCGAGAAGGTTGCCATGGACTTAACAGAACTCCCTGTGTCGAAAAAGGGTAACAGATCAGTGTTCGAAATACCTGTCTGCAGTCTGCAATCTGCAGGTAGTTTTTCAAGATTGCAGAAGCAAAATTTATACAATCTGCAATTTTGCAGCAGGAAAAATTGGCACTTGGGATTTGGTGTTCTTGGCCCCAAGGACAGACAACACTTAAGCTCCTGTTCTGAAACAACAGGAGCTTCTTCACTAATTTACATCAACCTTGTCTTGCCTTGTTTATCTTTTGTTTCCTTTTGGACTTCCAAAAATTTGTCTTCACTAATTTGCATATCAATCAATAGTTCATGCTTATACACTTGCAAGATTGTAGTATAGAGGCTTGTGTATTTGCAGAAAGTATTTCCAAATTGCAGAACAAAATTTTGACTCTTCTGCAATATTGCAGAGCACTGAAAAAAAGTATTTCGACCACTGCAGATACTGTCTAGTGGTACAAGACTTCTTCACCAAGTATACAAACGCCTATCCCTTGGCGCGACAGGATGCCGCCACTGTAGCACAAGTGCTCTTTACACACTACATCCGGGAACATGGAGTACCTCTGTCCCTACACTCGGACCAAGGTCAACAATTCGAGGCGGAGACAATGAGAGAGCTGTACACGACGCTCGGTATTGCCAGAAGCCGTACAACACCGTATCACCCCCAAGGGGACGGACTCGTTGAACGTTTTAATAAAACGTTAAAGTCAATGCTCTCCAAGTACGTCTCGTCTACCGGCGACGACTGGGACGACCACCTGCCGCACATATTATTGGCGTACAATACGTCCGTACACGCATCTACTGGCTACACTCCCTTCTACCTCGTACATGGGAGGGAAGCAAATCTGCCCGCTGACGTGATCTTCGACACGACACCACACGCCACATCAGCCACAAATTCGACCACGTCGTACGCCAAAAGCCTGAAAAGCAGCCTCCGCGCCGCCTTCGCCCACGTGACACAAAACACACGGCAAGCGAGTGACAGACAAAAAGCGGCGTACGATCGCACCGTTTGCTACAAGCCGTATGCAGTTGGTGACCGAGTGTGGCTACACGATCCGACGAAGCAGCGAAAGAAACTCCAGCCTCAGTGGAAGGGACCATATGTGGTCAGGGACGTGCGGCAGTCGGGTTTAAACTACTGCATCGAGAATGAAACCAATCACAAAACTCAGGTCGTCCATTACAATAGACTGAAGCAGTGCCACACGCCTCCTATGAATGCAGCTCAGCCCGCCAACAGGCCGCTTCCAGAGAATACAGCTCAGCCCGTCAATGACGCACCCCCTGTACACGCACAACCGCGAAGCCATCCAGCTCAACGAAGCACGAGGTCTGGTCGTGCAGTGCGGCCGCCGTTGCGATACAACGACTTTGATGTGGACTGATAATGCTGTACAGTGCGGACTGATAAACATGTACAGGACTGTTGAACAGGACTACATTAGTAGAAAGTACATGTGGCATAAAGAAGCTCGCTAGGAGCAAACATTATTTGTACTCTTTTCTTATGCCTTCCTGTTACTTGGATGCCAAGCAACACTGCGTATTTATAGCCTACGGTAATACTTGCTGATGTCTATCACTATGTACTAGTGTTCGTTCCGTGTCTCCTGACACCTAGCAGGATCAGCTTTATGGATCTATAGACTTCAGCTTTATTCAGTAGAGTCTATAATTGTAACGTTACTACTGTTTCATTCGTTAACTGATACGGACCGTTTTCCGTTACTATTGTTGCATTTTGTTATGTTGACCTATATACAGTATTATAAGCTGTTTACTTCAGGAGAAGTTTTCTTCATGTAAGGGGGGAAGAGTGTAAGTAGCAGAAATAGAACACCCCCGGGTTGGAATGGTATGAGCCAACCCGGGGTCAGAGGTGAACTGGAGCACATGGTAGACCTGTATATTGTTTACCCTGGATGCCAAACTCGTTCTTCAGGCGGCAAGAGCCTTTCGCCCGCCGGTCTAAATTACTGCTACGGGGGAGTCTAGCCCGGGGGGAGTTTGGCCGCCTTCCAAAAGGCCGATATACTCCTCTGCGGGCGAAGTACCCTGGCTGCCGAAAAAAACGGTTAGCGGCCTGTAAACTTGGCTGGCACCCAGGGTAGGCCGATATACTCCTCTGCGGGCGAAGTACCCTGGCTGCCGAAAAAAACGGTTAGCGGCCTGTAAACTTGGCTGGCACCCAGGGTATATATTGTTCTACAGCAGAATAGATTCATCTCCACACTACTCATCGCCTGGCCTCCTTGTCTGCTAAGTATACGGAACTTACACTATGCAGAAAACAAAACATAAAACTAAAGAAGATAAAAGTTAAATAAAAAGATAATTGGTACAACAAACCATGAGTCACCTGTGCCTCTGCCTTGACTTCTGCCTCGTACAGTAAGTAGTCCAGAGCAGGCATGAAGTATCCTTCCTCTGCCACACTACAGGTCTTCCCAGTCATCTGGCGTCTGCATGTGCAGTGTCCTGTACTGTTACACTGGGGGCTGACTGATCCTCCAGGGTCACACTCACACAGGGTACAGCCGGCTGGGTTCTCTTCAGTCAGGTTGTAGGACCCCACCTAGCAGAGGATGAAGGCATTGCAGACAAGGACACCTCTAATAGTATGTTCTGACACCCACACATATATATAAGTATAGCATTAGGGTATGCATTTTCAGAACATATGAGTTGTCAGAGCAAAGGAGGGTTGGAAAATAGGAGTGTCAGAAGACATCATCATACCTGGTATGCATGTCATCAAGAGGCAAGCTTTATGGGAAATGATAGCTGTTCAGCATCAAATTGACTGTTCTTAGTTTTTCATTCAAGGACAAGTGGATAAAGAGCATACAGGTAGAAAATAAAAGTGAAAGTATTCTTCCACCTGTTTAAACACCTTACCTTGCACCTCTCACAGCTGTCTCCCTCAGTGTTGTTCTTACAGACACAGTTCCCAGTCAGCTGATCACACAGGTTGGAGCTGTTAAACGTGCCGGAGGCATCACAATCACAGGCTGGGGAGGAACACACACACAAATGCTCTTAGACTAATGATTAAAATTCATACTATTAGGATCATATCATGCATGCATCTGGTTGTTCAGGTGCATCACAGTCAATTTCACATGAAAATTCAAATCTTTAACAGATAAGATCTCATATCTAGCCATCTATCAACAATGATACAATCCATGTGACCAGAGAAAAGCCATGAATCAGATTTGGTTATTTCAAAAGTCAATTTGAAAGCATTTCTTTCACTATCTTTACATTTAAATCTAGTACATAAAAACACAAAAAGTAGTGACCTAATGTCATGGCCCTTTAGAGCTTGGCTTCGTGACACTTGGAAGATTAAAGTATTCATTTAATGGAAGTAATAAGTGCTACTAGGCAATTAATACCCGTGTCCATAATATCACCAGTGTCCATAATATCGCCACCTTGAGAAACAGTGTGCTTAAAGATATTTTTACTGCAACATACCCTAGGTATGTACATTTGATGTGTGAAGGAGTGCATACCAAAAGTATGTTGCAGTAAAAATATCTCAAAGCACACTATTTCTCAAGGTGGCGATATATTATGGACCCTGGTGATATTATGGACACTGATGTTATCAAATGACTATTTATACCATTACAATGACAACAGGTGTTACCTTGGCAACCCTGAGGATTGTCTGCTGTCAGGTTCCAGAAGCCGTCCTTACAGGTGTCGCAGGTGCGGCCGGTCACCCGGTCCTTACAGGTGCACTGGCCTGTCATGTTGTGGCATGTCCCATTGCCGGTTATTCCTGCTGACGTACAGTTACAGGCTGGAGGAAAAACAGACAAAATTAGAGTGAAGGTTAAACATTTTGTCTTTATTTCACAGTGTATGAGTCTTACACTATTATAATAGTATATGTAGTAACACATATTTTGAAAACATCTACAGTGTACAATTATGATAATCATTATACAATTGTGGTGTTGTTGAAACTCAAGGCTATAAGAAAAAGAAGAAGAGACAGATTTATGTCAAAGATACATTTTTGTTCATCTGTATATTAAATTTCTGAAGACTCGTCAAGCAATTGGGTATCATGTTTTTTCAGGACCACATATTTTAGAAATGTTCAACTCAAAAAAAGCCATGTAGTAGTTGTAAGTCTTTCCAGTGCAAATGAAGTTCAACAAGCAGCAAATCAAAAACACAATATATAATCATGTCATGTTATATACAATGTTATATATTTTACCTCACACCTTGGTGGTTTAAGTCACTTATTACTCACACTATGTGGGCAAGGTGTAAGATAACTTATCTAATGTAACATGACAACCACAGCAATTTTACCCCCACCCACACACCCATCACTTTCTTATCTTTGTCGACCATCCCTTGTCTTTCCCTTGCTGTCATTCACCATTTGAATATTAACAAATTTAAGGTGAACACTGTGTTAGGTCTAGACGTTTGGCTCATGTTATCATTTTTACAAAGACCAGTTAGCTGGCCACGTTAACTTAATTTGGTTCTCTGTTCTTTAAACATTATGCCTATCAGAATATCCACATAAAAAACAGCTTGTTCTTGGAAAGACACAACTCCAGGTACTCAGTAAAATTATAAGTCATTTCTTTTTACCCCAGCTGTCTGGCTTTCCTCCTCTTTTTAATTAAAACATCCAAGAAACCAGAAAATAAATTGAACCTTAAAGTTTTCATTTGCCAAAATGATGAGCACCAAAAAGTAAGGGACTGTCCCTCATCTGACTCTTACTACTATTAATAATAGTTTAATTTCTATCTGTATATAATTATAGTATTTAATTTGTATCATGATCTTTTTTAAAAAGCCAATAACCAAGAAATTAAATTGTTGTGGCCTTTAAGCCTTGGCTACATGTAAAAGTAAGTCTTTAATCACCCCCTGTCATGGGCAGATTAAAAACCCGTCCCCTAATCCACCGTGACGCTGAGAGGATTATAAAACAAATCCACAGACACCCGAATCATTGTGTAACAGTATGACATGCCTCACATTCCTAACCATGATGGAATAATACCTCCCACAGACAATAAGTGCCGTAGACAGGAGAGAATCCCGGATAATGGGTAACCCTAACCCCATTAATAATTCAGCAGCAGAGTGCTGCACAGAGAGGTGTACAGAGCAGCAGTGGCCTATTATCTACCTGACTGGGGAGGTGGTGCTTTGTTTGAGTCACGCGAGGTGGTAATAATCGTCAGTGCGGCGCAGGTGACACATTCCTCGGGACAAAAACGGTGATCAGTAGGCGGTTACGTGTGCGTCGGACCACAGAGAAAGCCTGCACCGCTACGTGCAGAATACGGCCTTTTCTGAGAGGCAGGAAGTTTATAAAGCTTTAAGCTTGGATGTAAAAAAATTCCTCTGTCTTCCATGAAAAGAGGTGACGGCTAGTTTGAAGAGGAGGCAATTGAAAGTAGGTAAGGGCAAGTCATTCAGCTTATTTTCATGTGTTGAAAATACAATTTTTTTATTTTGTTTCATTGTATTAGTATTGTACCAATTCTTGCAATTAAGGTAACAGGTATGGACAAGTGCTCAGCTTATTTTCTAATGTTGAAAATACAATTTTTTCTTCTTTATTTTCATAGTGCTGCACCAATTAATGTCTAATAAAAGATCTGATCTAGTTGAATAAAACATGGGATGTTATTCAGGTGAGTGTACTGGAATGTTAGTTATGTTGAGTTAACAGTACAAAATGTTTTCTCTGTTTATCATTCTGTCATGCCAATTATGTGATAAGAGGTTTAGGTAATTGAGTCAAACATGGGATGTTATGGGAGGATTGCAGGTGCCTGTATTGGGATGCTAATCATGTTGATATGAGATTCCAGAGGACCTGTTGTTTGTCAGCACAAGGTATGAAATGGAAGCAGGTTGACTGTAGCTCTTTATGATCTTGATATTGCATGTGAAATGGATTTATCAGATACTGCAAGTCATGACATTAGAAAGTGGGCATAACTTCCAACTTCTTGGCATTCCACAACAAAGGAGACTAATTGATTTTCAATTTTCAATTGACAACAAATATTAGAGGACTATTAGATAATTATTTTACACCACAAAGCAAGAGAAGATATCATTATCGGAGAGAATGTATGTCACCTAAAATAATTTTCTATAAAAAAAACCCTGGAATTTAAAGCATGTCAATTAATTATACGGAGGGACATAAAAGAATGAAACAAGAAAAGAGATCATTACGAGAGAGAGAATGTAATGTTATGGCACCTGAAATAATGTTTTCTACAGGATATTAAGCTAAAATTGACGATATTATGTAAGCCAATTTAGAGTGAAATGAAAGAACACGATAAGATCTGTGGTCTGTGTCAGAGGTAAACTCATTTCTATGCTGACATCCTGACATCAATATAAAAACTAATCTGGAGGCTATAGCAGCTATATTAGAGAAATTGATCCCAGAAATGACCCGAGTAGAATTGCCTTCAAATTCATGTTCCCTAATCGCTTCAAATTGAATTTCCAAGGAGGGTATTTTCAAACCTCTTTGATACTGATAGGACTACAAAAACAACATAATAATATTATACTGTGAAAAGAACCACGAAAACCTTCCCTCTAAGTACTTCTGAGACAAAGTGGAACAAAACAAGCCATACTGACTGCAGATGAAGATGCTATGTTACTACTTAACTGTGTGAACATGATGGCCCAGTATGACATTATAACGGCACCGTTCTATCCCTCTGTGGCTCCTAATCCATTTTCATGTTCCTCTTCCAAGAAACGTTGACACAACACGTAACCTTGAATCCTAAGTTAGTAGAGGCATTGCAGAATCGATAACTTTGTTCTTGGAAATCGAAAAAAAGTTAGATTGGTAAATGTGTAAATCGGTTGCAACAGTAACGAATGACATTGTCAGGAAGACAAATTAGGTGATTTTTCCATGCAGTCTTAGGGGTATGGGCCTGGGAACTTCCAATGTTGGAATAGGGGGTTACAAATTAGTTAGACAGGATTAGATAGACATCTATTTAGATTATTTTATTTTCCTTTTGCCCCCCGAAATTTAATGAAAGGCATCCAATAAAGAGATAATTCACCCTGTCGTACTGAAGCTTTTTGTATCAAATATTTCAAGGAGAGGGCCTGACAAGGCTGACTTTCTTTGTCAGTTATTGGACAGCTTCGTTACATTTGAAGTTTCAATTTGCCAGAAACCTGATAGACTGGAAGATTCTGTAAAGTAGCTGAGAGCAAAGGTTAGCAATTGTGCAGCAGCAGGGACTATGTTATATGCTTATTCCAACTGTGTTCACCAAAGGGTACATGTAGGTACAGACAAGCTATATCATGGTATATAGGTAATGGACCATGAAAATGATTGCGTTTTGGTTAGAATGAAGGATTGTACAATGTGCACGAAAAGTTTCCACGAAAAATTTCTTCCAGACGGATGGTAATACAGCACCATTTCAGACAATTTCAGGCCATGCCATCTTATTTCCATTTTGTTGGACATTCTAAAGGGAAACCTAGCAAGAAAACATTGTGGAAACACTGAGGAAATCTCAAATATGCCTTTATTCACCTCCAAAACATACTCATCGAAGAAACCATTACCTACCATCATGATGGTACATACTTGTCCCTGTTTTCATGTGAATATGCAAGTTAACCCTTTCTATTAATCCAAAAACCAATGAATCAAATTGGTGTTGCCTTGGCAAAAATCTCAATCTTGGGACAGTTGATAAGGCTACTCACATAAATCATCAATCTCCCTTCCTTAATATCCTTACGGTCCTCAAGGATATGAAGAAACTGAATTGGGACAACATCTCTTAAATAATGAATAATCTCCATTAGTGGCAATAACAACTCTCATCAACAAAGTTTGTATCACAGGGGGACTGTTGTAACACAGCTAAAGTGCACGTTTGTACCAATGATTATGAAAACCTTCTTTTAAAATAGCTGAGTTTATTTTTCTGTACAGTAGCAGCAGAAACAGATACTGGCCTTTCAGATCAAGTCTATTAACTAAGGACCCGTCCACTTGTCCTTGTGAAAATGTCACTTCTAAATATTTGATGAGGTTTTGAATGCACCCCGGGGAGGTTATCGCCATGCCCTTCCACACAGGTGGGTATGTGACAATTACGTCTGGTCCATTGAAGTTCACGGTTGATCGGATCCTGAAACACGACCATCTGGTCCCCACTTACCAGCCAGGTCACTGCCCTGGGGCCACACTAATTTCATTCATTGGTTCTTGGTTTAAATGAACTACCAACTTGACTAAATTCTTTACCATGGTAGGCAATAGTAAAGTTTAACCCAGTTTCTGGGTGTCAAGACTCTCTGGTACCATGATATGCATGATTATGAATTTTCATCTTATAATTTTATTCATTGGTTCTTGGTTTCATGATCAATCAACATGACTAAATTCTTTACCATGGTAGGCAATGGTAAACCCAGTTTCTGGGTGTCAATACTCTCTGGTACCATTGCATGATTATGAATTTTCATCTTAGAATTTAATTCATTCATTTTGGTTCTTGGATTAATTAAAATATGTTTATCTGGATGATGAACGTGAAACAGAGCCTGACATTACTGTGAGAGTTAATAACTTTTGGGTGTGAATACAGGCATACTCAATTTTCCTCACTACTCTCCCTGATGTCTGTCTGAGAATGAAGGAAATGAAATAGTATGGCCTTAGGTTGTTGGTATGCAACATCAGTGCATTCTTTGGCTCTCAGCCATTTTGAAGTACATCTTTAACAAGACTGAAAGGAAGGAAGACTTGAACTTGGCTACATTAAATTTTGCTCCCTATAATGTTTTGAACCATTGACTTTTTCCTCTCGCGGAGCTTTCATGTTGGGCCAACTTTGAAACTTTGCCAACAAATCAAATTGGTATGGTCTGAGTGTGATATATCTGATACTATTGTATGAATAGGGGAGCCTGAATCAGAATGCAAAGCTGATGCATAACGCATGTAGTTTCCCCAAGCTGATTTGTTTTATGATAACAGTCCATGCAGTGTAGTCGGGTTAGTTTAGTCAATTTTGGTGTTCTCAGATGTTCGTACTTTACAGTAACTGCTCGGTTTCCTTCCTCTCTCAGGGACTGGTGACATCAGCTGCCTCTAAACCCACCAGACCGGACATAGAAGCAAACCATGGGAGAGAACAAGCAGAGAACAACCAATGACAGCAAAAATATGTGATGCAGAAAAGTGCAAGAGAATTTTCTGACAACAGACTTCCCAAACAGTCTCCTGCTACAACATGGATGCAACAGTGAACCACAGAAAATCCGTGATACAGAAAATCTTGCCAATATTTGTCCTTCTGTTACTTTTCCTCATTTTACCTGCTGCAAGAGGAGAATTGTCAGTGTTGCCAGGGGAGACCATCACCATGACAACAGGTTCCAAACTGTTGCTGACCTGCAGGTCAAATGGGACGACCCAACCGACATGGTATCTCCATGGTGCTGAAATCCTGGCTGCCCGCATTGAGCAAAACAGAAGGATTTACACTGAGGTCTCAGACACGTCACCTCGAACCACAATCCTAAGAATTGATAGCATAGAGATAAAGGATGCAGCAAGGTATGTGTGTGAGAATGGGAACTTCCAGAAGATTGTTCAGTTGTACGTGGTGGCAGACATCGTCATGCAAGAGACCGAACTTTCACAAAGTCTGCGTACCGGCTCGGAGGGAAAAATCGAGTGTGCCGTTGCGACACAACATCCTGTTAAGCCAACCATAACATGGTACAAAGATGGCGAAAGACTGGATACATCCTCCACAAACTATGAGCAGAAGTCGCAAGGAGTTTTACATGTGGTAAAGGCGGAAGGTAACGACACAGGGACCTATCGTTGTGAGGCGTTCATCCCATCAACAGGAGTGTACAATTATGTTGATATAGAAGTTAAGGTGGTAACCCCAGCCTGGACTTACAGATGGTGGTTCATCCTGGTAACTGCAGCAGCTGGTGTGTTCATTGCCGTAGTCTCATTTGATCTCTGCTGGTTCATAAGCAAACAGAAGAAGGCCTGGCAGATCAGGAAGGACCGCATGTTTGCGGCGACGTGTCATCTCAGGGATAGTGTCGGGACTGAATCTGAAGAACACCTCATACTCAAGGGCTCTCAGACCGGACTCTATAGCTACGGGTCTTCATCTTTTGGTGAGCACAAGTATGGAATAGAAGCACCTTGGGATATTGGACCAGATACGGACAGCCAAGAGCAAGGGCTGAACAATGTAGCATCCACTGACAGAGACTCCTCCCCTGATGTTCACACAGTCCTGATCTCTAGACCACCACACAGTGAAGTTAGCCTCACAGATACAGACATCAAAATAGATGCCAGCAGTGCAGACATTAAGCTGGATGCCAGCAGTACTCTCGTGAGTTCAGGAAACAGCAGTGATGGTGCAACAAACAGCGTCCTGCACTTGCAGCTTGACACCCCAAGAAGTAGCGGATCCACTGAGGATGGAAAGACAACATCAGAGAGCAGCAAGGCCTACCTTCCCGCCACTTACGTCACTGCAGCAACTGTCAAGTCTCCTAGAAGCCCCGCAGTCTACAAACACTCTGGTCAAAGTGCTTCTGGAACAACTAAGATGGGCCTGTACCCTGGTAAAAAAGCTGTTGACTCTGCAGATGAGACTGAAATTACCACTCAAGTCGAAAAAGCAAAGACAGACAACTACATCATGTCCTCGGTCATGGGGAGTGAAGCATGGAGAAGAAAGGCTCTTTCTTCTGAAAAAAGGAGGAGATCATCTGAGAGAAACGGCGAAGACAGCACTGTAAGTCTCAAGAGTCTGACCAGCTTGCAACAGACATCCTTAACAAGAGGGCCACTGGTGAGGCAGACTGAGGTGCCGGAGGTTCCACCGATTCTTCTGGAGATAACGCAGAATGTTCCAATGGAGGATATTGAAGGTGGCATTGCTGAGAGGACACTGCCAATGTCACCAAGGGCAACACAACTCAAAACGTTCCTTGACAGCCTAGACCAAAACAGAGGACAGAACAGAGAAACTATCATGGGCAGTCCAAGCAAAAGGTACAGTGCACCTCCCGGGATTTTCACAGTCAGTGGAGACAATCTTCCATCACCTTCCTCGAAAATGACAGTCCCACAGCTACATGAGATAACCAAAATAACACCAACACGTCAGAGAGGCAACATCTTCTTGCTAAGTCCGGAGAAGACACCTGTGCGATCAAATACCAGCCTACCCAAACTGCGGGAACTGAGCCGCAGGACCTCTAAGGGTCGGCAAAGAAGTCAGGAGGAGCCGCTTCTGCCTGGAACGCAGCAGCCGAGAGTGGAGTATGTGCGCCGCGCGGTGAGCCATCAGGAGCCTAGCCAGCAGGGGACACAAATGGAGATGCTGCTCGGCCCAACATATCCACACGTCCTTGCAGCGCCACCTAGTGGGATGGACTGGAAGTTCAAGTTCGATGAGACTTACCTCTAGAAGATCCGGAAATTTCTCAGATAGTTTTTATCGCATATTTCAATGCTTTGGCTTACTTACTATGATGTGGTGGTAAGGGCACATGAATACCAAAACAGATATGCTGGAATCTATTGATTACTGGTTATGCTATTGCTATTAAACATAAAAATTAACTGTAAATATTGTGAAATAGAACATTATTATTCCATATCTGTAAGAAGTTATGATTTTGACAGGTGATTGTAGGATATTCTTAATCAATGGAAACCATATCTAAATTGTATTTTATAACTGAACCAAAGATTAGAACTGGTGAAAAGGGTGCTACAAGTGCACAAAATCTATTTCCTATAAATGCATCTCCTTTATGAGTTGTCCTTATCATAGATTCTGTCAGGTTTGATTTAAACTTTTGTACAGATGAGAATTGTATGATCAGGGCATGTAACAGTGTATCTAAGTAAGGCAATGTACAACTTCCTCCCTTTTGAAACCCTACTGAAAGCTTAGTCTAACTGATGGCTTGCTTAGGTTTGCATACAATAATTGTAAATACTCAATACATTGTACAAAGCTTTATATGATTCTTTCATTATGTTATCTGCATAACTGCACTATAGCTCATTGTAGCTCTTAGATGTTATATATGGAATAAAATACTATGCATTGCTGCTACAATGTATAAGAGTTTTTGATAAAACTTTCATGGGTCAAACGAAAGCTTGTGTGTGTTCACAGCAATAATCTAATCAGCTTAACTTGTGTGTATAGTAATCTATCATTTTATTTGTACTGCTAGCAAAGTTCAATCCAATCATTCAGTGAAAGAGTCTACAGTGGTGTGACCCAAAAGACATCTGCCTTCTATAACTGTGTGCATGTATTGTTGCAGAATATTAATGCACTTAGTGCAATCTTGACAATATATCACAATTGTATTCATTATCAATAACGACATGAAAGGTGTGCTAATATTGCACGGTGCAATGTGGGAACATATCATACATCTACAGCTTCATTATAATAAAAATTAAAAGTACTTTTTGAGTGTTGCATAAATTATGTTATTCAGTGACCTCTTTTTTGAATCATTTCTACCAGCTACAAAAGGCAGACAAATTTGATTTGAAAGATTCACCACAAGAGGTTCTGTGAAAGATCTAGCGTATCAGAGAATACACATATCAATCTAACGTCTTGGTTATCATATTTGCTCATTTTTCTGATATGATTATGACAATAACGTTATATCACCCAAAAAATGCTCTTATGTTGAACAGTTGGCTCAAATCCTTCTAAGTGCCTAGTTATATTTCTGTTTTGCTCACCCCATCTGTCCATTGACATTCTGCAAAACTGCAAGAAAAGAGGGCAGTTCCTACCTCTGCATACACCTCCCATAGTGTTTCGCTCCGGTGTGTCCTCTATGCTGAGGTAGTGGAAGGGTCTGCACTGATCACACTTGTCTCCCTCTGTGTTGTCAGTGCAGTTCTCACACACCCCGTAACCCTTCTCTGCATCATAGTAACAGCTGCTAGCATGGCCCTGACATCCACAGTCTGAAATTGATTATGAAGAAGGAAATTAATGAACTGAACAAAGGGAAAGATTTATATTCAATTTGTTCTAAAAACCATATAAACTTTTAGCTAAAATGACAAAAACAAACAAAAAACTGTTTTCAGATTGGTACAGATCAAGAAATTAAGGCCTTCAAATACAAAATTAATTGTAAATCTTTGATGTACATGCCCCTTCCACAAAATCACTAATGAAATTGAAAACAGTATCTATGACCCTGATGTTAGTTAATGAGAAAACCACACCCTTACTGCCAGGGGTTGCTACCTTTCTTAATAATAATAAGTGCCATTTTGAGTATATTACCTTCACAGATGTTGTCCTGGTCAGGTGTTCCCATCCTCCATGGCCTGTTGTTGTACAGAGGCAGACACTCCTCACAGTTCACTCCCTGGGTGTTGTGTGCACACTGGCACACATTCTCATTCTGTAGAAAAATAAGGAATTTATTAATTTTGCGGAATTTTACAAAAGTTGACATGTCATTGAAGTCAATCAGTGGTGACAGACTCCCTACCCTTTAAATCTATGTCCCTGCTTTGTGATCCACAGATCTAGGAGCACACGCAAACACACACACAAAAACACACACGCACACGAACACATACACACACACACACACGCACATACACATGCACACATACACACACACACGCACATACACACACACACATACACACACACGCACACATACACACACACACGCACATATACACACACACACACATACACACACACACACACACACACACACACATGCACACACACACACATACACCAACAATGCATATAGACAAGCCCAAAACTCCAGTCCCCGAGGTCAAATAATTATAATGTTACGGTAACCCTACCTCCCCTGTACACTCTGCTGCATGTCCAAAGCAGGAGCACTGACCCTTGACCTCCCAGTCAGACACAGCGAAGAAGTCTGACCCCTCGGCCGTGTCCCCAGGTGACACTAGAACCACCCGTACATCTGTCAGCATGTAGTGCCGGTACACCGCTTCATCTGAGAAGAAGTCGCCTGACTGTACTGAGGGGTTGTACAGCACCTGGGCATGGTGGGGAGATGGGGGTCAAGGCTCAATAGCTGACATAATTACTGCACTGAGAGGTGTACAGATCCTGGACTAGAAAATCCAAATAATCATCCCGACAGTCAGTCAACTGTATAGTTTGGGGTTTGTAACCACCTCTCACAGAATTAAAGTTATTCAATATGTAATTGTCCACATTGGTACAATATGTTGTAATTCAGCGCATTATTTTAGCCATAGATGCAGCTGACATGATTCTCATAAATGAGACAGGCAATTCCAACAGATCAATAGTCACCTCTGGCTCTAGATCAAAGTACAAGCTTAGCACAACAAGCAACATGGTCACTTTTCAACAGAAGAAAACATGTATTGAGCCAAATGCATAAAGGCAACATTCAACTTTCTGATGTGTATACTATTTTTGAATCACCTGGGTAAACTTACCAGTTGCTGTTCCTGTTCATCTGCAGCTGATTCTTCCAATACTTGGCAAAATGGAATGGTCAGATCCTGATCGTCAACCTTTGTTGGTACACCAGGAAAACTCAATGAGCAGTCTTTTGCAAAATACTGCAGGGGACTCCACAATTCTTCCACAGTGGATGCATTTCTTGTATTGCGGGCCTCCACTATCATGCCCAGTGGCTTCTTACTTTTGAACGACACTTGCATACTCTGGAATAAAAACTCATCTTGTAGACTGAGGGTCAGGGTCACGTTGGTTTTACCATTCTCAGACTGCCACCATGTGGTGAGGTTGGGTTTAACATTGGAGTAATCCTGTCCTAATATTTCGACCGTCTCTGTAAAACTGTCTTGGACAAATTGAACAGGGTGGGCAAAGAGAGGGTCCGAAGCATTACATATCTCTGTTGCTCTCTGTATGAAATTACTTGTGTCATACTCGGATGGAGGGTCTCCGCAAGTTGAACTGGCATTGAGAGATCTGCTTGGGAACTGTTCTGCTGTGTCCAAAGATGGCAGGAGGTCCACAAATTCTGGATAACACCCTTTCAAACATTGTGCAGAAGAGCCTCTACAGTTTAGAACACTTACAACAAAGACGACAAAAAAGCTTATAGTTCTACAATTTCTGTACAGCATCCACAAAGGTCTGGGTTTTGATGTTGTCTTGATCTCCATCTTGGATGGTAAGTCAGGCGAGCGAGTCGATCATGGGCCAGTCCAGATGAATTCATGTGAGTGTTACTGAAAAAAAAGACCAAAATGTTAAATATGGTCATTGATAATAGGTAACTAAACATGTAGCTCATTGTCAGAATACTGACCCTTTTCAAGGAATGACAGTTGCAGATTCTGATCTAGATGCTATGGTTAAAGTTATCAGTAAGTTGTCAGTTAGATCTGTATTGATCGAGAAATTATCTGATTCAAGTGTAAGACAACAGACATGCATTCACTGGCTGGCTACATAACACATGAACTTGTCATACCTAGGCCCACTGGCTTGAAAAGATATCATTGTGCAATTGACTGTTTGAAGCCATAAGAATCTACAAATTTAGGTCTATCCACCAAGGACTCGAGTATCAGTATCAGATATAGAATGGCTTGTTTTCACAAATAATACCCACTACAACACTACAGCTGACAGTACATACATGTCGTCACCACAGGAATTGTTGATGTACAGTCACATACATTTTTGTTACAGGTTGGATAAGTGCTTTTGTTGCCATCATAATGGACATGTCGTGTTGGGACCAGGGATGTGTTCCTGAGGGACCAGCTGTGAAAACCCCTCCAGCAAACTGTCCCCACTGCTCTTTGTTCACTTTGCCTTTTGAAGGCACAGACAATTAGGGTATGTTACAGCTGTGCTAAATACTAAACACAGGGTTATCTATATGATGAAGGCTTCACTAGTTTATTTCCTTGGTTCTTGCAAGAGGTTTGCTGAAATATAGCAATCAGCCATCACGAATGCACAAGAAAAATTGAATGTGACTGTAATCACTCCATATAACTGACTCAGGACCAAGGCCATTTTTCCAGCTGATATACTTAGTATTCTTTTTAATCTGACAACCCAAAAAATAAATTGATGTGCCCTAACGTTTTCTAACCAACAAAACAGACGTTTGGAGGGCAGATCCTAATATAAACAGACCATTAGGTGTGGTTCAGAACCTACCGAGTTGAATTGTTCCCTACATCTTCAAAAGTTCCTTCAAGTTGGTAACTTCAAAACCGCTGCTTTCAAAACATGCAGCTAGAACCAAATAAAAAGTAGATCAAACGACAAAAAAAAACATCTCGTGGGAAAGAACCCAATTGGTCTTTCGGCAAAGTTCAAAAGAAACGCCACTACAAAGTACACGTCAGGATCACCTGTACTGTAGGGCACCCAACTTTCAGGCGGCCTCGCGTTCTGTCAAACTTCGGGTTCAAACAGCGACAACGAGTAAACATTACGCCCACAGGTGTCATTACCTGTATTTTACAACATAAGAGTTGGCAGTTAAGTTGCCGGGTGTAAACTGAGTATCCTTATAAAACTAGGCCATTGGCAAACAAGTGGCAACGTCATTGGAACTATGAAGAACTTGCCAACTTCCTAGTGACATGAACTAAAAAGCCTCGGCAATGTTTAAAAAAATGCGAGTGGAAATATACATTAGTCAACACTTTAAACTTCTGTTACAATAAGAGAAAAGCAGTTAATACTCTTGCCTCAAGTGTTTCAAGCCTTGCCGATCGCCAAATTGCAAGTTTGCTGTTTATATGGCCACCTGTTAACGGCTACGCCACTTGCGTTAAACAAGTGGCCGCGTATAGAGATTGGCAGCTACCGTAAAATTACCTTGTTCGCTTACCGCAGCGCCGGTCTTGTCGCCAGCTAGCAGACGACACTCCGTCAGCTTGAAGTTTCCATAGTAACGGACGATAACTGTTTCTTGATTAAGTCAAAGTGGTTCACTCTTATTAAGATCGTAAGTTGCGAAAAAAGATGGTTTGAAAATGAAGCCGTTTTTGGCGTGTCCGCGTGTTTGTAGCGGATTTCCGGGCGATGGTAATACAGGACAAAGGTCGTGTTTTCTCCGTAGAGTGGACACTTGTGGCTCTTGAATCCAATACCCGGTTTAAAGGATAACCCGGCGGCTAGGGAGAATTTGCGCGCTGATCACCGGCGACAGTACAGCTGCAGTACCGCGCGCAGTCGCACCGTCGGGTTGTTCGGAGACCCAAAATAAATGCACCGTTTTGGAGCGCCATTTGTGTTGCATGAAATTGTAGAGAGCGCAAACAAGCTGATAAAGCAAGCAATATGCACTATCAGTGCTCCCCATCGTTCATAAAAGTTATCATATAGTTATAGCTGAAACCATACTTGCCATATAAAAACTTTTCAATTTATCGTGTACAAGTTCAATGTCATACACCTCAGTGCCATTTGATGCATTTTGAAGTATTTTATTTTAAGCATAAAATTGACACACATTTTCCGAAATTTAAAAAAAAATTGTAACCAAATTACAGTTACTTATGAGTGGCCATCCCTTATTTTACTGTCTTATTTCTTGTTTCTTCAAACTTCCAGAAGTTCCACCTTACTGAACTAGCACTTCATTTATTTTTTTACACAATCTATCATCTTTAACTTCAGTCTTGGCAGCTTGTTTGAAAAAAGCACAGTCCACAACTTAATAAGACTGACATCTTTATTCATTCTTTGATATACGTTTACTACCTAACTACATCAGTTCTCCCTCATACCTTATGTAATACACAAATAGTACAATATCGCCACAAAAGTTACATTGACTTATAAAAACTTTACAAATACAAACCAAATGACACAGACCTTAGTTAGATGAAGAGCACATTTGAGCCATCCTGTCACAATACACATTTTCAGGTCAGTCCCTAACATTGCATTGTACTTATATCCCAGAACCTAAAACAAGAAAAGTTTCAGTCCCACTATTGCTTACTAATTTTCACAAGTCATCTTTACATGATGTGTGCAAAAATGGATCTTATAAAGGATCTGGTCTAAGTTTAAGTTACATTGTACTTCCATGACTGAAATACATTTACCTATTAAACAAGTGTGCGTGCGGGTGGTTGACACGTTATTCATATTTTCACTTATTTTTGCCCAACATCATTTTTAATATAAAATCTGAGATCAGAAAAGAAACAAAATGTTGTCAGGAAATAAACTAAAATTGTTGTTTGTAGGATGGAAGGGTGTACAGTTACATGTATGTGCACTCTGTAATGGGACATACAATGTAGAGATCTGAAGTTCATTTATTGAAGGTTACATAAAAGTAAAGGGGGGTTTATAAACAAAGTGAAAGTGCTGTATCCATGGCAATGTCATCTCCATGGCTACCGGAACAGCGTGAAGCGACGCGGCATCTGTCCGTCCCTGCTGGCCAGTCCCGTCTGTATGTCCTCATACGAGTGCAGCTGTCGCAGGTCACCCAGCGCTGCCACCGAGGGTTTCGTCTCCAACATCCGCCGCGCTACGCGACGTATGTCCTCCTCAGTTACAGCGGCTGGATAACAGTACAAAGGAACTTTATGACCGAACAAGGCAATCAGAGAATGAAGACTTTACCCCCTTACCCAAAGACATTAAGACTAGTCATGTATTTGTATATGTTTTATGTGAGAGGCAAACAAGAATGAACAAGTAAAAAAAAAAGTAAAGTTTTCAATTTCTTAACTTGAGTGTCAATACCTGAGTGCACAAGACTAATAAGTACAATTAAGTAAAGAAGCTATATTAAAATACTAATATAAGGTACATTTACACTATACCTGCCCTTTTCTTGGTCTGTTACTTGTAAAATGCCCCCTATCACTCTTCCCTGTTTTCACTGGCCTATGACATTACAAGCCATACAACAGAAGACACAGAATAAAGTGCAAGGTAGAGCATTCTATCAAACAACTTACCAGCTGCATGTACTTTAATCTAGTACAATCTGCACATAAGAGTCCTACTTGTACCCACCAATCATATCGCAGAACTCCTGTGGAGTTTTCCTCGTGTTGTTGTTCAGCACCTGCCTGCCGATGTCCTCGAACACGATTGGTCGAGCCTCCAGGTTCATCATCAGCATCGACTGAAGCTGGGTCTTGGCTCGCGCCAACTCAACCTGGGGAGGAGGGGGTGGACAGCATTCATGCACAACATGAAGAGATAGATATACACTGGAAACTGTCATATACTAAGTATCTTGAAACAGATCTAGAAAAGTAAGGGCAATGAGTAGGTCTACAAAGTAGCTAAATGTTCAAAAACTATAGCAATCTCTCTCTGGCTACTGGTAGGGCATGAAGCCGTTGACAGAATTCATATTAGCACAAGATAGTAGAATATGGGAAAGATGAAAATTGCAATTAAGACAAAACCCATCTGTGGTTATCTATGTAGAACTTACCCCTCCCACTGGCCCTGCCATTCTGACAAACTCACGGACTAACACACTGACCAACTCTCGAACCTGGGGGGCAAATGACAAACTTTCATTAGTATGTATCAACATGAAATAAATTTTCATATTCAAATGGTTAGTAAGACAGACAACTGTCAATATTCAGGCTATTGCTTTTTTTTTTTTTATAGATCGATAATATGAACCATCTGTACCTCAGTTGGGTGTGCACTAGCATGTATACAGAACAGTCCCGTGTCCTCATAGCTGTGGTGGTATGCTGTGGCATTATACATCCAGTGGTACCTGTGGGATAGACAAATGGCTGACAATTCAAAGCAGATAATACAGTACTAGTAAGGTATAGAAATTATAGCCGGAAGTATCTTGAAAGAATCATTTCAAACTACATGTATTAAAATTCAAATGGAAAGGCCCCCACTGTACTGTATATCATGATACAGACTTTCTTCCACAATATCTACAAAACAGCATTACATACTGTGATTCTTTGCCCCAAGATAAGAAAACCTTATCTATCTATTGCCGGGCTTATCAGTTGAAACCAAGCCAGTACAAATTTCTTTCCATAGAACCTTGTCTAACTTTGGTTCTTCTAAATAATAAGAAAACCCCACCTGTTGAGCACATTGAGGTACAGTCGTGTGTACATGCCCTTCCCAGGACCCCCTGCAGAGAACGACCCACCTCCTCCCATCATCATGTTGAGCACGGCGAAGGGGATGAAGTCAGGCTCGTTGTAGGAGCAACTCTCCAGCCCGATCACTACATGGGTCAGCTCTGGGAACTTGTTAGGACCCAGGCTGATGTTGGACATGTCCTTCTCTACCTACAGTAAAAACATATAAACAAAACATGTCTTAGTTTTATGGTTAACATGTGTATACAGGTGTAGGAGCAGCTCTCCAGCCCGATTACTATGTGGGTCAGCTCTGGGAACTTGTTGGGACCCAGGCTGATGTTGGACATGTCTTTCTCTACCTATAGTTCAAGCATATGACTTTACAAAGGCTAGGTTTTATGGTTATACAGGTGTAGGAGCAGCTCTCCAGCCCGATCACTACATGGGTCAGCTCTGGGAACTTGTTAGGACCCAGGCTGATGTTGGACATGTCTTTCTCTACCTACAGAAGGTAAAAAGATATACTAAGTATACATGTAGATGAAACATCACAGAGATTTGACTAACATCTATGAATAGTTAAAGGGACAGCTCACAAGACCAGCTCTGAGAATCTGTTAGGGCCAAGTCTTTTTCCATCCCTAAGAGAAAAGGAAATAAAAATGTCTTTCTGAAGCTGGAAAACAAAAAATTCAAACAGAACATATCTTATTTTCCTCATAGAGTTCTGGCAAATCATCAGATTCAGAACACTAGAGATGTCAAAGAAGCAGTACTTAAGATCACCAAGTTGTAGGTGAGACAAGTCATCTAGAAACACACACGCTGACAAACGAAAAGTAATACGTAAGTCCCTTTGGTTGAATAACAGATAATAACAGAATAACAGTAATAGTATGGAGTTTACCATACTGATGGAGATCTCAATAAACAAAGAAACAAACAAAGAAACAAACAGAGAGACTCCCTACCTGTCTCATCCCCCCTGTGTACTGCGCAATGGACTCGTCCACCATCTTGACGGGGTATCTGCCCTGTCCTTCCCATGATGCCTTGCTCCCGACGATGTGTTTCCTGGCGGCCTCCACGAGCGTCTGGTGTTCCACGCCGACCCCGGCCAGGACCATGCGGGACGGGACGTAGTGCAGGGACAGGTAGTTAAACAGGGTGGGCTGGTCGATCTGCAGGATGTTGTCTGGTGGACAGAGCTTGGGCAGGCCCACTGTGTTGTCTCTGAACGCAGCCTGGGAAAGATCAACAAAAGAATGTTAAAAGGGGCACCATACACAAATGTAGTTCAGGGATAGAAGGTTGAACAGATTGAGAGCAGAACCGAGCTCTGAAAGGCAGCTAGCCTTCAACACAATACTGGAGTTTACTGGTGTAAGCTGTGAGTACGACATAAGATTCAGAACACAATGGCAAGGCCTAACTAATTTTTATTTAAAAAAAAATAGAGCAAAAATAAGAAATGTTTTCATAAACATTCTATAAGTATAATTGCAAGGGGCAGAAACCCTACATTTAGGTTTACAATCACTTGAGCAATAAACTATTGTATTATGCCATGCAAAGGCTTGCCATCATGAGATACAGACAGATACTTACAGCATGGATGAGCTCAGTCAGCAGAGGTTCAGGATCAGGTCTCATGTTCAGGTCCTCCAGTTCAAACTGGATCGCTCGTCTTGTGTCCTCAATCTGTGACATTACAGGCAGTGAGTTAGATTGTTTTAGGCACATTCAATAAGACAGTCAAATGATATTGGGTTCTACAAGCTATATTGTGCCCAAAATGTTACTTACTTGAGCTAAAAAGCAGGAGAAACTGTACTTTACCTCTAACTCAGTGAGACTCAATGAGACAGAGTAAACGGTATAGGGTTCTGCAAGCTATTTTCTGCCTGAAATGCTATTTACATGTACTAAAATGCTGTACTTTACCTCTAACTCAGTGATGTTTGGTTTCAGGACGATGTCAGACAGCAAACTGACGATAGGTTCCACCTCCTTCCTGTCAGCTGATACTGCATACATGATGGTGTCTCTGAACAGGTACAGAAAACAGAATTAGAGGCAGTGTCTCAGTGTAAAGGTATCTTTGATTACACTTTGTAAAATACATAGTGTACCAGCATGTAGTGTTGTATATACATGTATATAGTGTTGTTCCCCTTCAAACGATATAAAGTGTTGTTCCCCTTAAAAATTGTACACTGTGGTAGTCCACCAAAGATCACTTTCTTTTCTATTAGAATAATGGCTTCCTCTAAATATGTGGAGGATGATGAACTGTAAGAACATAAAAATTTCAGGAAAGAAACAGAACATTAAAACATGGTAAGAAAAAGATGAGATTAAGGGAGAAAATGGGAAACAGACAAAAGAGGGAATAAGAGGAGGGAGGGAGAGAGATACAGACTAAGGGTGTGTGTGTGAAAAAGAAGAACCCCACCTGGATGACTGACAGTCACAGATGCCGCCATATTTCTCCAGCTGCTGGAGGATGTCGTCACGGCTACCAAACCTGGCCGTGGACTGGGGCCAAACAAGGTCAGGGTTAGACTGGGGATGTCAGGCACTTGGGCACTTAGTAAGAAAACAATGTGTCTGCCAGTTTACATCAAGAAAAGGCCCTTGAATTAAAAAGGCCCTTAAGAGAGACCCTACAAAACATCAGTGCATATACATGTACTAGGGTAGTGGACTTTGTTACTGAGAAATCTTTTGATGCACCATTCACACACAGGAGTGTCAACGCTGTTAAGGAAATCTAAACTGTTACTCAGTAGGAACTTACATTGAAGGCAAGTTTCTCCAGGAAGTGGGAGATTCCACTGGGAAAAGCAACCTCATGTCGGGAACCAGAATCTACAAGAACTGACGGAAAATATTAGTTTGCAGACTGTAGATACAGTTACAAGTATAAGCTAGTACACTGGTATTTCTTCATGAATTATTAACATAGTACAAGTCTTTCTTTCTCAATTCAGGTGACAATGAGAACTATTAGTGAGCTTTGATTGGGGATGTCCTCTCAGATGGGACATAAAGCTGAAGGTCTTGTTTTTGAGGACAGCCACGCCTCGAATGTGTTTAACATCCCACTGCACTCAGTAGGGGCTCTTTCTAGTGTGAGTTTTTCAAAACAGTCCAGTCTTAAGCAGCAGGTACTTACTGTACTGTGCAAACCTGGTGTGTTACACCTGAAGACCGTTTGTGGTTATGCGAAAAAAGAACACATTCCTACCTCCTACTGTACAAAACTGCCCAAACTTGTTCTCTGACGTGACCTTTAACCCATTCTCGAGGGTGGTGATCTTGGTGTCGTAGGTCTGGTTGGTGACGGTGGCGTACTGCGGCACGGGAACGCTGGGCAGCGGCTGGCTGAGGGGGACAAAGCCGGGGTCACCGCTGCTACAGAAGTTACGCAGGCCATGGGGCTTCTTCCTGTAATTATGTTGTAAAAAATTTAAATCATAAAGATGATTCAATAATTTTAAGGCAGACAAGTTTGTCCTACTTTTTTTTCGCCGTGGCTATATACACTCCCGGTGTGTATATAAAAGACAAATAGATTTTATATACACTCCGAAATGCTAGCCTCCTTGGTAGGCCCAAAACTTGGGTTTTTGTGAGTGTTTGAGGATTCAGGGGCACCAAGTTTAAACCTCGGTCTTCAAGTTTATCTTATTGGATGATGAAAATCAGAAAACAACACGGAAATCTCCACCGAAGTTCGGTCGAGCGGACCGCCCCGCCCGGCGGCGGCGGCGAGACCGGTCGCGCGCCCCTGGCGTCCTCGCTACCTGGTTGATCCTGCCAGTAGTCATAGGCTTGTCTCAAAGTTTTAAGCCATACACGTGCAAGTTTAAACTGTCTCAGTGAAACTGCGAATGGCTCATTAAATCAGTTATGGTTCCTTTGATCGTCACATCCTACATGGATAACTGTGGTAATTCTAGAGCTAATACATGCGGAAGAAGCGCCGACCTCACGGTCTGGCGTGCATTTATCAGACCAAGACCAACCCGGGGTTCGCCCCGGTCCCTTTGGTGACTCCGGATAACACAGCCGATCGCGCGGTCTTCGCACCGGCGACAGATCATTCGAATGCCCTATCAACTTTCCGGGAGTGTATATAAAAGACAAATAGATCTTATATACACACCGGGAGTGTATATAAAAGACAAATAGATTTTATATACACTCCCGGAGTGTATATAAAAGACAAATAGATTTTATATACACTCCGGGAGTGTATATAAAAGACAAATAGATTTTATATACACTCCGGGAGTGTATATAGCCACGTTCCTTTTTTTTAACTTAAGGAATCATCAGTGGATGTTAAAAGGCCTTCGCCTACTCAGTGTCACCCTGTTTTTCTTTTACTATGTGTAGTTATGTGTATATATAACACAAGACCTAAAAAACACAAGCATTTATCAAGACTCAATCAACCGCAAACAGCAGTGAAATTTGAATGATGGTGACCTCGAAATTATGTGCGGTATCTTATATGCTTGGCTGGATCTGCGCTAGCCGTGGACGACTCTGGTACCCTTTTTGCATGATAATGCCGGGACAGAGTCGTGGTGCAATGCATAGGCCAAAACCAACCTTTGCCGTGCCGGGCCTCATGCAACGGGCCGGCCCCGGATTTTTGGTGTCCCTGGCTTCCCGACGCACTCACCTGCCGGGCCGGGGGGATAAGACCCTAAACAAACGCAGCATTTTACCACAACACGGCCTCGGAGCACGTAACTCCATACAAATCATTGGCGATCGGCGCCATTTTGAATTCAGGAATTGGTCCGCAAAACAGGTCGGACCCTGAGTTTACGACAGATTACGTCATGATACTTGCATCTTGAACGTTGGAGAGTTGAAAATAACGACGTAATCTGGGGCCGGCCCGTTGCATGAGGCCCGGCACGGCAAAGGTTGGTTTTGGCATTGGCATTGCACCACGACTCTGTCCCGGCATTATCATGCAAAAAGGGTACCAGAGTCGTCCACGGCTAGATCTGCGCCTGTTCGACGAAAGAAGTACATTGTACTGATGTTGACACTTTCATTAACTGCTCTTTTCTTGTTCAGACTCCATTTTAATCTAACGGCAAAGCAAAACAAAATTCAATGCAACATTTTATTCCTTGCAAAACAATGACGGTGCTCAAAACATGTGCACTGTAATTTATGGCAGGCGCGCCAAGGCAGTCACGAAAATACCATTTTCTTCATGAATTTCATTGCGTTTCCCTCGCTTATACCCATGTTGCCGATTCTATACTAGTAGATCTATCCGTTCCTAGGTTTGGTAGTCATAATTATAGGCAAAATCGGGAGAAAAACTCACTTTAAACCGTAAATATTCCGACACCTCGCCGCAACTACCCGCGCAGCCATGTTTCCTTCCCACAATACCTCATACTCTGACCCTTCACCTCTGACCCAAACACCTGATGACCCTCCTGGCGCGAACCTTTCAAAATCTTCGCTCCTTTCTTGGACCCGCCTTTTCGCCAAGTCTCTTCACTTGTCCTTGATACTTCTTAAATCTAGGAGTGTCGAAAATGTTTCTCAACACCTTAAGAAAGTTTAAAATGTTCAAGAAGCCCGTTAAGGGTGCTACGAGCCGTAACGAAAGATTCTCCCAACCTTACCTGGCCCCTTGAGTGCCAGTTCCCGCCAATCAGCTGTTCGAAACCGGTGCTGTATCGACCCATGCCATTGTTCCCTGGATCCCCGCAATGTGTGCCACTCGTTAAGTCCACATGTTTGCGTACGGGCGGGGTCTAGGTACGTGCGCCGATCCTTATAACGATTTATTGATTCAAGTCGCCATTTTAAAATGAGGTGAATCGGATATGGTGTCAGTGGATTGTTCTGCGTTTAAAGGATTTTGAATATACCGTGTTCCGTGAGTCATCTTTGTAGGTCGTGGGACCGGGAACAGGTGGAGCTGCTATTGATTGACTACGGGACTCTACAAGTGTGCGCTGTTAACTGTGAAAGCTGGGATTATTACACACGTACAATGGATTAAGGGTGGTGTCAGGCCCTGTTACCCTTGATTATTTTGGAAAGATGAGCAAGAACTTTTGGACAGGCAAATTTTCCTGAATGCGACAGAGGAATACAACAGGACAAACTCACAAGGACCTAACGCAAAAACTTCAAGAGGACAAGATACGGGGGACCAAGAGGTGTGTATGTGTCTGTTTCCACTTAATTCGTGGATGGCCACTATCATTTAGTGTGGACATAAGGGCAGTTGTCCGGGTAATATTTTTGCAGCAATCAGACACATCCCTTGGGAACTATGGAGACTCAAAGGCTTTCGTGTGTTGTTAATTTGAGATTATGGAGATGGCTTAAATTTACAGGTACATGTAATTGATTTAGTGGTAAAAATTAGCTTTTACTTGTGTTGTGCTTACAGGTAGGTACATAGTAGTTAAATGATTTTTACAAATAATTACAAAACATTACCTTAATTCACAATAATATCTTAATTGCCATGTGTATGTTCAGAGTGTGAAGATAAATACAACCAAACAGTTTTTGACATATTTAAATTGTTTCCTATCCAGTTACTGAACTTAAAAACAACAAAAGTGGACAACTTCAAGTTTAAATTTGACCCATATTGCATCAAGGAGGACAGGGATTCATCAATTAGTCAACAAGCAGATTCCCAACTGAAATTCACAATACTACACAACTACAACAATGGCATAACTGGACCTGAAAACCACCCTGCAGTCTTACATGTAAGAGAGGAAAACATATATGAAACCACAGACTATATAAGTCACTGACAAGCTCTCGTGCTGAACTCTACTGAACTTGCTAAGCACCATGAAGCCAAGGACAACAGATCATGTCCTTATATGGATATTAGTTCTTTTGTTTCCATGGGAACCACTCCTGGCTCTGGAGACCAGTAAGTGTGAGGAGGAGGTGGATGGAGAGATGGTGTACTACGCCTGTCTCGGCGCGACGTCACATCTGTCAGGACTCCCGTTTGACCTGACTGTCACACCTGCACAGTACACCTGTGGGAGTGAAATTGACGGCCAGGTGTATGATGACTATGCCACACAGGTGAGTACTATGCAGTCAATTCATTTCTATCATATTTTATAATTTTGGGTTAGATTTTTGCTGTGAAATGAAGGAAAGGACACTATATTTATATTGCCTTAACACTATTGCTACTCCACTGTATGTATGTACTTCTGTGTACCTGTATAGCCGGACTATAACCGCCTTTCGGCATAACACACCTGGTCCAGCTTCTGCCTCTGTATAGCTGGTATAAACGCCTTTCGGCATAACACACCAGCTTCTGTATCTGTATAGCCGGTATAACCGCCTTTCGGCGTAACACACCAGCTGTGTTGTGCTGCAGGTGTTTTCTGTTTCATCATGAGTCAAAATTCTTCATGAGTTATTTATTGTCAACAGTGAAACTGACATGTTTGTTGTTCAGTTGTTTCTATAGCCATGCATGCAGTTAGCAACAAAGTGTTTTGATATGACGTAACACCCAAAGACCCAAAGGTTATCTCTGAAACTATGCACTGTGGTGTACAAAAAGGTGGATCAATGTGACCTGACCAGAACAGGGTCCAAAGTTATTATTATCCCGTTACTGTCTCAGTGTCTAGTTTCAAATATATGAATCATTTGGCACAGTTTGAAGCACATTGATCTACTAAGTATTATGTTCATGGTAAAAATTCCATTCATGCAAAACTGACAAGCAACCCCTGGGTGTTCGTAAATGCCAAGATAAACTTTTGTGATGCTTCGCCAAGCCTTTTACAAAGCTGCAATGTAGTCGTGTCTGTGCAACCATCTTCATGGTCAGTCATCATTCTCCGTGAAGTTGACAGTTGTGTAGGCAAGCACGGAAAAGATAAAGTAAACCAGAAACGTAGTTTGTTTGGAATGTTGTTCAACAATCCATTAAGTGAAGTACGACTCACTGAGCAACTAGTCAACATAACATTAAGTGAACTTTGACCTTCTGAATTCAGCCTGAGTTACACCCATGTTGTTAATCATCATAAACCTAAAGGGAAAATAGTTGCTTGACATTTAGGAGTTGTTTCCTACCATACAATGGTCTACTTCTGATTCAAGTGTATATAGCTTAATAATAGTCCTAAACTTTATTAAGATTTAAGTTAAATTCAAACAGTGTTTCATGGTACAGTACTTGCATTATATCATCAATTTATAATTTTGCATTAGACATTAAACTCCTCTCAATTGGCTACAGAACTATTGGTAAAGAAAACTGTTACTATTTGCTACTAGTATGTAATACTATATGGACTGTTCTTTCTCCTGTATAAAAAAGAAGTAAAAAAGTAACAATGTAAGCAAAACTTAAGTTATTAGTTAAACCTAATTTCTTTGTGTTTCTCCTGTTTTGCATGCTTGCACGTGAAAGGACTCCGTAAGATGTTTTCTTTTTATGTGTTTTAGTTTCTTTACAATTATGTGTGACATACATGTATGTCTAATATGTCATTAAAGAGATTTCAAATGATTTTAAAAATACAAGTAATGACTTTGATTGTTTAATCTTTTATTATGTATTAGTAAGTTGTCCAATAAATGCAATTAATTCTTAAAGCAAAATTTTTTAAAATTATGGGGACTCTCTTTCCAAATAACTTTCTGTCTATTTCTGAAAGAAATAATAATTTCTGAGTCATAACAACTAGGGAAGATTTGCTCTGTTTCATCCACCACTTACATACAAATGTATACATACGAAATCTTTCTCTTCTTTCGCAGGCAATATTCTCTGATATAAGGGAGTGTTCTTTGGACGACAGTCTTCCCGAGTTCATGGTTGATGAGGACAGTACTGCAGAGAGCCCGACCTTTTGGCAGTCTATCAGCTGGCTTCTATACCCCACACCCCTCCACATAAACATCACCTTATCATTTCCTACCCTCTACGAACTTGGCGATGATATCACGATCGCAATGCCGACGGCTCGACCGCGTACAATGGTGCTCGAGAAGTCGCTAGATCACGGGAGGACCTGGCAAACGATGCAGTACTACGCCTACAACTGCCGAGAGGCTTTTGGCTTAGAAGATAAGGAGCAGAGTGCAGTCTCGCTGGACAGTGCCACAGAGATTACTTGTACAGGGGAAGACAGTGACATCCTGCCTATGGTTGGAGAGCCGCAGGATTCGGCTGTCACCTTCGAGAAGTTGACGCAGCTATACAACGATCGGTCGAACGTTGAGGGGATTTTGGAAAAGTTCGAGAACGACACCTTTCGGGAACTGTTTGTGTTCACAGACTTGAGAATACAGCTGCTGTATCCGGCCACAGATGGGACAGAAGTGTCGTCAGACCTGCTCTCCAAGCTTCAGAACTACTACACCATCTCAAACATAGATTTTGTAGCAAGGTAAGTGGACAAAGGCTTTTAAGATTTTGACACAAATTCAATAAAATATGGCCATGGGGTTTAAGAAATCAATGGAGACTTAACCATTTTCATAACAGGTGTCACTGTGAATGAACCCAATTGCCTGACTGTAAATGTGTAACAGTTATATTCATGCATATACTGATCGCCCCACAACAAAAATTGAACAAGACAGTCTCAAATTGTTATCCAATAAGCTTGTCCACAAATCCAAGCTTTCACAGTTACATGTAAGTTAATAAGTGTAACATTTACTATAAATCTAGAACTTTCTGAAGTGTTCACTAGTACTTTGCAGACTCTCCATACCCTCCATACCACTAAATTTAAGTGTCGGCAAACTTGAGAAACTTCCACTCATTTTTCTCCCTCTTTTCCTTATGTACCTGCAGATGTTACTGCAACTTGCATGGGCTGTACTGTAACAACACGATGTGTGAGTGTCAGCACAACACGGCCGGCCCCAGCTGTGAGCGTTGCCTCCCGCTCTATAACAACCGGCCCTGGAGGAGAGGGTCCTACCTGCCACAGCCTGGGGGAACCGCAAACGAGTGCCAGAGTAGGCAGACAGATTTTTCTCTTGGGTCACACACGACGTGTAGACTGTTTATAGTCCAAACAAGTGTCAGAGTAGACAGACACGTTTTCTGTAGTTTTGTTTCACATGTCTATACTTACGACGTTATAATCTGTCTTAATCTAGCTCACTCCCTTGAAATCTTCCTTGTTGATTATTTTGCTGGGAAGCATTTAGAGGAGCAAACTGGGGCTAGAATATACATGGGTCCCAGTTGGTTATAATGTGGTGGAGGGGCTTTTATATCATACCCGGGCCGCGACAACGTTCGATAACGGGTTCCAGACCGGGCCGTACTTTACGGTACAGCCCGGTCCGGAACCCGTTATCGAACGCTTCCCTGGCTTCCATAAAACGATTCGAACGCATTTCGCCCTGACCGCGTGTGCCCCTTTCGAAAATTCGAATACAGAATCCGGACGTTGGAATTGATGTTGTTGCAGTTTAGGGTTCAGTGGCACCAACTTTTGGCTCATCTTGCATTGAAAGGCGTGTTTTCTTGGGTGGGTATGACATAAATAAAATACAACACGGTGTATTCCGCATCGCCCTCGGTCCCGGCCCTCCCGCAAGTCGGATTGCCCTCCGGCCTGCGGCCATCGGGCGATCCGACCCACGGTCGGGCCGATACCTCGGGCGATACGGAATACCCCGTGTTGTATTCTATATGTACTGGCCATGCACATAACTCTTGAGATCTGGTATCTGGTGTTGGAAAGTTGGAAAGTTTGTTTAACACAAAGATGAAATTTCATATCTCTCTCTCTGTTTCTATATTTCACTGTATTGTTAGTGTCAAAACCCGGATGTCTTGCAGAATTAACAATTCCAGTTGTCATTGCAGAGTGTAACTGTAACGACCATGCTGACAGTTGTGTGTATAACGCCACGCTGGGCCACGGTGTGTGTCAGGACTGCCAACACAACACCACAGGCGTGAACTGCTCTGTCTGTCAGACCAGCTTCTACCGAAACGACTCACTACCCTTCAACTATCCAGACATCTGCATTAGTAAGCAGGATATATGTGATTTTCCTTTTTAGAAAAAAAAGGAGTTGATTTTTTTAATGATGTCAATACTATCTATTAGTTTTAAGTGGGCAAATTTTTACTGCAGCAGCAATATTGAATCTTTATTCTAGCTTGAAACACTAAAATTAGATACATTCTGTTTTTTCTTCCTCCATTAATATTCCTCCCATAAACAATTTACTATATACTGTACATTGTATTTATCATATGTAGAATCAAAGGGAAAGGGAAATTTCTGGATCAAATTTACCTAGAGACATAGTTTTGTTGCTACTAACTATGCCATGCTTCTCTTTGTAAGATTGTCAATGTTTTGTCGATCCCTTCTCAGCGTGCAACTGCGAGGCTTTGGGAGTCAGGGACAGCGACGCGTCATGTGACCCACACACAGGGCAGTGCCACTGTAAAGCGGGGGTGACAGGCCTACACTGTGACCAGTGTGTCAATGGGACATGGGGACTTTTGTCAGAGGACCGCCCAGGAGAATGCAAAAGTAGGATTTCTCCTGAAAACCTTCTCTTCTGCCATTTTCTACATTCACCTAGGCATTGATGATACACATTAAATTGTATTGTTTCATTCCTGTCTTTTCAATATTTGATAAGGGTCATGCTATTTTGGGAGAGCTACATGATGCACTCTACAAATTCATCCTGCTGCCTTGGAGCCAGTTTCTTTTTCCCTTTTTAGTGTTTATCAGTATCTTGCACTTTGCATATAGCTACATTGTGTGCAACAATGATCACATACTATATTTAGCTAACATGTAAAAGCAATAAATAATGATTTTCTCATACTTTTATTTAAAACAATATACCAAATTTCTCCCTAGACTGTAGCTGTGACACCCTGGGAACACTGGATAGCCTGGAACTGTGTGACCAGACTACGGGACAGTGTCCATGTAAGACCACCACTGAGACAGCTACATGTGGCAGATGTAAGGACAAGTACTGGAGGTTCCCTGTTGACCCTGAACAGGTAAGGAGAACAGTTCTTCAGGAGGTCAAGACATAAGTTTTGAAACTCAGATTTATTTGTCTTTGTTTGATGTTTGTTTGATGTTGTGCTGAAGTGTGGATGATACATTATGGGTGTTGTTCAGGTGCGTTATGCCAATTCCTTCAGGTGCACTGTACATTCTGCTACTGATTGCCAACTTTTGTGTCTGTTCAGGAGTGCCTGCCATGCCTGTGTGATGTGGGTGGCTCAGCCTCCCAGAACACCAGCTGTGACCAGTCCACAGGACAGTGTGACTGCAGACCCAACCTACAGGTCAGTTTTAAGTTAAAGCTTCTTCCCACCTACCTCTATTACTGTACAGTTGTACAATCACCGCAGCAAGAGGCTATTCCACTGGCTCTTTCCCCAATGCTTAGTGCTAAGCAGAGAAAGCAGTTTGTACCACTTTTAAAGTCTTTGGTATGACTTGGCTGGGGATCTCACAAACTACTGAATGCAAGGCAAACACTCTATACCCACTTACATCAGAGAAAGTTATTCAAGCAATTGGATATGATTTTGGAAATGGTCTCAGGTGTTTCAGGTAGCATCCACTACATTTTGTGAGCGACACTGGAGAGTTGTCAGAAAAGGAGGTTTATAAGTTCAAACTATTGATCATGTATCCCTTTACCCACTTGTCCATTACCCAACCTACAGGGGCTGTGCTGTAACCAGACACAGGATGGCTACTACGTACCAGGGCTGGATTTTCTCCTGTTTGAGGCAGAAGAAAACACGGAGACAAACTGTTCAGTTGTCACCACGGAGCTTCCTGAGACCCTACCATTCACAGGCAGGGGTTTTGTCAGCTGTACTGGGAATGCTGTGGTAACATTCAATGTTGAGGTGGAGCAAAACTGGTAAGCCCAGTAGATAATCCCTGTATCTGTCTACTTAACAAAGAAGAGCAGTTGCAAATGGTCAACGCACACTGTAATGATTTTGTGATGTCTTTTGAATACATACTATTACTTTGTAAGTTGCTGTGGTATCTGTAGCTTCATTTTTTATTAAAGCATGCTCTTCTTTGATTGGAAATTCCACTTGTCAAAGGCCATCGATTTGTATTTTTTCCAATATAAAAGGATGCCAACAAGAAGCATAATTTCAAAACATTATATTACACCAGATTAAACTGGAGAAGCATAATTAATATGTGTAATAATAACAGTGTGTATGTATTAAAGCTTCATTGTCCAAAATCGCATCTCTTGTTGCCTTGTTTCAGGTTCTACACTCTAGCAGTGCGGCACACAGTTGACAACAACACAACTCTGCCAGCAGCCTATGTGGAAGTCTTTACCGTTGGAAGTGCAGAGGTCAATGGGTCATCTGTTGGCAATGACAGCATCCAAATGAACAGCAGCACCCCAACAAGCCTAACTGTGGATGGGAACAGCACAGAACAGGTACAATTAGCTCATGTTTCATGCATTTTTAAAGTGAGCAAGAGGTAAAATGAAGAAAACAAGTCCTCTCCTTGGTACTGAAAATGTGGTTATACCTCATAGTTGTGCCATCCAATGAACTGTAATCAGGCAATCGTTATCTTTTTGTGCTTTATAACATACATGTATGCAATTTTTAGTATTTATGATTTTGATTTTTTGGTTTCTAACCTTCTCTCTTTTAACATAGCCTTTAGGCACCAAATCTGTGTTGGTTACAGATTTACATAGCAAGGAGATAATAACAGTGGTGAAAGCACAAAAACATTTACAGCAGCAATGCTGTTCAAAACTTGCTCAAAATGTGCTATAACTTGCTCAAAATGTGTTATTTGGTGTGATACTGTATGACAAGTTAGCACTATTTTCCCTCAGCACTTCTTTTCATCCCCAAGAGCGGTAACTAACACTAAATGCCTTTTTGCCTATTTTTTCTTGCGTAGGTCTTCAGCTTGTGTCCCTATGAGTCAGGCCTTGCCTACACCCAGAACATCACCCTGACAGCAGGAGTTGGACAGGTGTCCCTGACTGACCCTGTACAGCTGGACAGACGTTGCAGGTACCAGGTGTCAGTACACCTGGATGGAGCAGGTGCACCTGTGGTGGTCGACTCTTTGTTGTTGATACCTGATGTGACAAAGTCGGTTGTCTATGAGCTTGCAGGTAGGAACAACATTCATATTTTTATTTCACCACAAATGTGTCACACTCTTTCAGTAGTGCAGACCTCTACTGTCCACTTTAGGTGATTTGTAAAAACTTGATAGACTACTGGTAGCAGTAAATGTCTACTCTAAAATACTGAAACCAGTGGCAGAGCATGTGGTTTGAAGCATGCACCACAGGGGTAAATTATGCTCCATCTACTTAATTGCTTACCACTAGACCAAAGCATGGCACATATTTCTATATTTCCTCATTTGACAGCTCCATGTATATCTGTATCTATCCTGTACAGACAACAGTACCAAGGAAGAGTATGAGGACTGTGTGAGAAGTGCAGCCCCCCTTCCCACTGGTGACACAGCCAGCACAGAGCAGTGCCAACAGATGGTCTTCTCACTTAGCGCACAAATGTATGATGGGGCAAGAGGTATGAGTGTTGGTCACTTTACTACAATTCCTAGTATTTTCAATATATAACGTATAACCATATGTTATTAGTCTCACTAATGGATGCTAGACAAAAAAAGACCTCAAAGTAGGTGATCTCTACCATTTGCATAAAATTTGCATCAAGGGCCAATGGTTACTTTTTATGATTTATTGAAATAATTTCTTGTTGGCATACAAAAACATGATAGGTACCTAGTAACACATTAAGGCCGTGGAAGGTTAGTCAGAATGGAACAAAACATTCAATTCACAATTGCTTTCAGACTATAGGCATCACTATGTTTAACTATTTACCTCCCTACAAACCTAGGTCTGTGAAGACTTTGACTGTTTTCATGGCTTACCTATTATGTGTTGTTTGCAGCCTGTGACTGTGACCCTGTTGGCACCTTGGGAGGAGCGTCAGACTGCAGCGCTGTAGGTGGACAGTGCAGATGTAAGCCAGGTGTTGGGGGAACCAGGTGTGACACCTGCATACCTGGGTATCATGGCTTCTCTCAGGAGGGATGCTCAGGTGAGGTCTTAACTTGGGAATCATAAGACTTCAATGTTTGTTTTGTCTGTAATTGTTATATTGCTTCACTTTGTGCTTATTTTTGGCAATGTAGTACGGCTTGGGAGAGAGAGAGAGTGAGAGAGAGTGAGTGAGTGAGTGAGTGAGTGAGTGAGTGAGTGAGTGAGTGAGTGAGTGAGTGAGTGAGTGAGTGAGTGAGTGAGTGAGTTATTGAGTATGTCTGAAAGTTCCTAGTGAAATGATGAATACAGTGTACTGTACATGTATGTGTTTTTCATTTCACAGCTTGCAACTGCAGTGACCTTGGTTCTGTGCATTTGGTGTGTGACCTTGAGACAGGACAGTGTCCTTGTCACCCAGGGGTGGCCAATGTGTCCATGCCAAGTGCCCGCAACCTAACAGCAGATCTGCAGTGCAGGAGCTGTCAGCTGAATTATTTTGGGTAGGAAAGATACAGTAACCGTACCTATTAACACTTGATTGCTTCAATTTTTCTCCAAGCTTTAAAAGGATAATATTGAGAGACTGTTAATTCATCTCTTTTACTAACTCAATACAACTTTAAATTAGTACAAAAAAGTCTTGTGTATTTTTTTCTCCTATGGGCATCTTTTATTTTTGACTCATATGATATTTCTTTTCAAAATGGTAATTGATCACACTGACTGACTGTTAAATATTTGAGATAAAACATGAAGTTTTTTTTACATTTTGACTCACCAAAAGTGTTCTCAACTCAACAAACTGTTGTCATGTTATTTGACAGGTTTGAGAGTGGGGGAGGCTGTGACCCCTGCCTGTGTAATGAGACAGGCTCAGTGAGCCCACAGTGTGACGAGACAGGACAGTGCCCCTGTCAGGACACCGTCGGGGGACAGAAGTGTGATGTCTGCCTGCCGGGGTTCTTCAACTTCTCATCACAAGGGTGCAGGTATGATAAAACTTTTGATCATACATGTATGTTACTTGTAAATATAAATCATATAATTATTTTTTGTTGCCACACTATTGTACATGTATGTCACAAGTTAGAATTTGATAGGCAAGTTGTTTGCTTAAAGTGATTGAGCCTTGTCTAATTTCTCATGCCAAGGAGACTGTCTTTAGTTACTGATTACATATTGCTTTTTTGGTTGATTTCTCTGTTGGTTGGTTTGTCATCAGAGTGATTCTGAGTGAGAAATCTTTGGCGTTTGTATAAAATATTATTAAGCTGAAAACCCTTCATCCTAAATATTATGCCACAAATGTCTCATAAACCTTGCTGCCTTTGCAGTGTTAAAAATGCTATTTGAAGTAAAATTACATTTCATCATTAATTCATTCTCCATAGTCCTTGTGGCTGTGATGAAGCAGGGTCAGAGGTCATGAACTGTGACCAGACAGACGGGTCCTGCGACTGCAAGTTCAATGTGGAGGGAGAGAAGTGCAGCGCCTGCCAGAACATGACCTTTAACCTGGCTGCGTGGAACCCAGACGGGTGCCAGGACTGCTTCTGCTTCGGCCACTCACACAGCTGTAGGTCAGCTGTGGGGTTTCTGCTGCAGAACATCACGGTGGAGGTCAACAGGTGAGTTATTATAGGCAATGAAACAAGCTTTGGTCAGGGGCAACCCTATGTTTTCACACCTCTAGATCTGTTTTCTGTCAGTCCTATATTTTTACAGCCCTATGTTCTCACACCCCTACATTCTGACACCCTATGTACTGACACCCCTATATGCTCTGATGTCCCTATGTTCTATATAGGGTTAGGGTTATTGAAACATAGGTTGAGTTATTGGAACATGGATTGGAATAAAGGGTTGAAAAATCATAGGGATGTAACTTTCTTTGGAATGATAGTTTGCTCAGACTGATTGTTTTTTCTTTTTGCATGCAGTTCTGATATCATCACAGCAGGCGGGGTCTCCTACTATAGTGTCAGCAGAACTCTGGTGGGAGACCACACAAGGTCTTATGGGTTGAACCTCGTCCTAACCCTTGACCTGATGGGTGGTGATGATGAGGTAAGCTAAAATTTTCAACTTCTTCATTTAAGGAAACAAGTCACATTCTCAGCAGAAGTAGGTGGTTGACCCTCACAATGCCTAAGAGTAGGAGAGTACAACATTTTCCAATACATTTGTAAGCCTTACATATACTATACATATATACTATCTAAGAAGGAATTAGAGATTTATGCAACTTACTTGCTTGCTTACTTGCTTATGCTGAGTCTTGGTGTCCCTGGCCTGCAACTTACAATTAAGATTTAATGTCGGTTCCCCTTTATCAGTCGAAGTGCTACACTATTGCAATGTCCACCACTTGTCACCTGTGTTATTAATAGGGAGAGACAACCAGCCCACGTTTAAGTTGTAAGGAAAGGTGCAGTTAGGTTTTTCTGCTTCTGTTTTTACTCACTGTCTTATACATTATGTATTTCAGGTGAGCACAGATGGCCTTGTGGAATTGACAGGAGCCAATTTCACCCTTGTGAACTGGGGAACAGAAACCCTGCAGGTGGACCCCCGCAGCAACTCCTCAGGTTCGACTGCAGCCCTGCAGGAAGTCTCTCTCCTGCTGCATGAGACGTTCTGGAACATCTCAGATGTGGAGGCCTTCCTACATGCTGTGAACTTTAGCAGTAAGTACAGCAGGTTTTTCTATTATCAAAAAAACTATAGTTAGCTTTAGTAGGAAAATCCTGCTTGTCCAATGTTTTTTTTACCATTTTCTCAATAAAAAAAAAGTTTTCAAATCTCTCTTGGATGATTCCATGTACTACGTATTTTTCAGCTATTTTGGAGTCATGTAAATGTGTACCTAGTTTCTGAGTAAATAGTTAATGCTAAGGATATTGTCTGATATCACATGTGAAATTCTCCTGTTCATTTGTCCTGCTGCTTACTTTATATGGAAACAGTTCAGGTCCTTCTCCAACCATTTGGTAAGTTTGAATGAGTTTTTGTAATCCACACCTATACAACCATGTACATTTAAGCCTCAGTGGTTTCAATAGGTTTGAACATTTGTACCATCTCATTGTATCTTACCTAGACATTGATGGCTTTTCAGCACCATGGTGTCATGTAACATTTCACCAAGTTTTAAAAAACTTGAGCTTTTGTCTTTGTGTGTTTGTGCCAGTGTTTTTCTAAAATGATCTGAATCTTCCCCTCTGTGATATCCTGGGGACAATTACACAGCAGTATCAGAAAGGGAGTGAAGTCTGCCATCTCTACCTAGTTGTCTCCTGTAGGAAATTCTGACCCAGGTTTTGTGTTGTCTTTAATCTGCAGGGCTCCTGTCTGACCTGACTAGTGTGAAGGTGCCCAGACAAGTCGGTAACACCACAGTCACTCTGCACAGGGTGGTCCTGCAGACCGCCGTTGCCATGGCAGACCCCGCCCTGCCACCTGTCTTATCAGTTGAGAACTGCAGCTGCCCAGATGGGCTCTCAGGTGATTTAAAGTTTTTTAATGAAAATATTGTCATAGATGTTTCCTAATCAATGATTTGTCTTATATGTTAGTAAAATGATTTGGTCATTGCCTGCCCCACCCAGATGTATTATACAAAAAGTATACATTTCAGACTGTATGAAGAGTTGGGATATACATGTACTATAATTTACCTATCAGTGTACAATTATTTTATCACGATGGTAAGTCAAAATCAACATTGACCAAAACTCACCAAAAGAAAGGATTGCAATATTGCAATGTATATTTAACTTCTTTTCGCACAACAAAACAAAAGTTACTTGGCAATACATGTGTATTTTGGTTAGTAATTCTGCTACTTTCCTCAGGGCAATAATGATCAAGCAACTTGATGAAACTAATAGTTTCAATGACACAGTAGAATTTCCATGTTTTGAAAAACAACTGATTTCCAGGTCTGTCGTGTGATGAGTGTGCCCCAGGGTACCACCGTGCTGGGGAACTAGACGACCGGTTCATGCCCTGTGTGGCGTGTAACTGCAGCAACAACACACTGACCTCCCCGCCTCAGTGTGACAGCATCACTGGGGAGTGTCTCAACTGCAGGCCTGGCAGGACAGGTCAGTTATTTGGTGGTTGAAGGGGGCAAGGAAGCTGCTCTGTTGCATCCCTTTTTTTGTCAGACATGTTGTAAGATCCCTTATCATAAAAAAAAGTAACAGCAGTTCCTTTACGATTTGTGATAAGTACTATGTAAAAAAAAAAAAAACAATACAAGTGTAGTATAGTAGCTTGGTACCTATGGGGATTGTCTGTATTGTAACTGTATTGTAGTCTGACAAATACCAACATACAGCTAAGCAATCCATATTTACATACTATATGTCATCTGTGACCTCCATAAGCTGATATTAATATTACACAACAGCTCTTTTCTACACAAATGATACCCTGACTCCCTGTTTCGTTCGTTCCATCCCAGGTAAACACTGTGAACTGTGTGACCACAACGTGGTGGGACCTGACTGTGACCGGTGTGCAGAAAACACCTACGGACTAGGCAATCCAGACTTCCCTGGGTGTAGAAGTGAGTACAATAGTCTACCTGTCCTCGAATTATATGGTAACTTTTGGATGATACTTTGTCCTTATTCAAAGCAACTTGGAACTTCACTGTGATCAGATCCTTTCAACAACTCCTCTCCAAAGTTACAGAAAGTTTGTATATCAACTCAAGATATTATGTTGCTTTCATGAATAAGCCAAAGTTGTGTTCTATCTAGTTTTATATACAGTCATGGCAAGAAAATAACTCAACTGTTGAAAACAGGACTGTATGACTTCTAAATAAATGAATGAATTGTTTAGTTTACTGTATCAGTATTTATCAGCAATATCCTATGACTATATATTAAATAAATCATACCAATTATACATCTTAAGTACAATCATTGTAGAGCAATGTTGTTCTACACAAAATATTGTCTTTTTACTAGTCTTCCTCTAACTTTCCTGTATTTGCCAGACTGTAGCTGCAGTCCCTGGGGTTCAGTAAACGCCTCCTGTGACCTGGAGACTGGCCAGTGTTACTGCAGTAACTCTACTGAGGGTCTGAAGTGTGACGAGTGCAAGGGAAACCTCTACTATAATAATGAGACTCTGGGTTGCATAGGTAAGAACTGGATGTACATGTAGCTATAGGGCCTAATTGATAATCTTCAAAACATGCTGGCTTTAGCCAAAAAGCACACAGTTTTTATCGTATTCAGATACATATGATCAGTACACAATTTCTTCTTTGCATTCTGGTCATAATAATTTTTCTTTTAATGTAGTCCCTGTTACCTATTACCAGGGTAATACATTGTAGATGTCTCACATACTCTATAGAACTGTAATTTTGCATACCTTGGTACTTTTAAACTGTAACAGTTGTACAATAAAGTCTTTTAAAGTAAATTATGTAAGCTTCGAACATGTATGGCACTCAAATGCAACCACCACACTTCAAACACTGACAGTTTTCCTGAATTTCTTCAGAATGTGAGGGCTGCTACGACCAGATTGAGACCAGAACGGCCAAGCTGAGGCTTCTGAGAGACAACATCACCCAGTTTGTGAACATGCTCAACTCAGGCGACAACCAAAACGTCTTGTTCTCAACCAGACTGGAAACCATCCAGTCACAAGTGGCCGGCCTGTACAACCGGTCACAGGAGACAGAAGACGTGGCCGCGGAAATGCACGACACTCTGAAACAGCTGAACACTTCTGCCCAGGAGGTTCTGTTGGGGTTGACAGTGGCTGTGGAGTCTGAAGTGAAGCAGATAGAGGGGCTGTTTCAACAGGCACTGGGAAATATCTCCAGTGGACAGGCTGAGAGGAATGCCACTGTTAGACAGCTGAAGAGGGCTTACAATGTTATAAACAGTAAGTACCAGTTTTTAGTCCTTTCATTTTGATGACTGTCACTCTTCTTAATATAATGACTGTAATGAAAAAGTTTGCTATTCAATCATTTACCAACCAAATGAAACTATTAAAAAATGACTTTTTCTCTGTATCTGTTTTTAAGGTGATATAGCTAACTTTTGTTGTCTTCTGGTGCCCAAAATAAGCTATGCTATCTGACTCTTAACCTTAATGATTCGGAATTATAATAGTTAAAATCTTTTCTTCTCTCCAGACTCCCTACCCGGTGTGTCAGCAGAACTGGACAACTTGGTTGACACTCTGAACCAGACGCTGGCAGAAATGGCTGCCATTCAGGGCGAGGTCAACATCAGTATCTCCACGGTGCTGGGGACACTGGGAGACATCCAAACCTCAGCTTTACGGGCATTTCAGCAGGCACAGCAAGCACAACAGGTTTGCATTTCATTCAGATATACATGTTTGTTAAATATCGTTGGCTTTCAAGAAATGAACATTTTTTTTACCATTTGAGCCATGGGATATGTGAGAAATGAACATTTTGTGACTTTTTGAGCTGTTCAAGAAATTAAATATTTATGACTAATTCAGACATTGAAGAAATGGACATTTTTTATCATAATAATTTATGATGAATTCAACAGAAATGAACATTTTTTCATCACTCAAGCCACTAGTCAGTTTGAAATAAAGCATTCCCCCCTGTACATGAGAAATTCTTTGAAATTCATGTTTGAGACACTTGTTTTAAAAAGCTTGTAGATAGTGCATTGTTCTTTTGAACAACAACAACAAACATCTATCTTGTACTATTTCTAGGTTGCAAGCAAAGCTGTTGCACTGCACCAGAACACAACAGAGCTCATCCAACAACTCAACCAGACAGCACGTAACATTTCAGCCAGCTTAGACTCACAGATGGATCAGGTACTGGGATTGTATGGCACTGTGTCCCATGCTACACAAGTTGCCATGGATACAGCTAGGTCAGTGAACTCGACAGAAAGCCTGCCAACAGAAGAAGTAGTGGAGTTGATTGAGAGGAGCAGGGGACTACAGGAGAGAGCCAATAAACTGACACTACAGGTCAGTCTGTGGGCAATTTCTTGTTGGGAATGTTTTGGGAGATAGAATTCAGAGATAGAATTGTGTGTGAAAGACAGAAGGGTGTGGTACATTGTTTGAAATATGAAGCTGAACATGAAAGTTACTGTCAGCTGTGTTGGAGCATCATATTTCACTGATCTTTATCAAAACTATTACCGGTATATCAGTCTGAGTGAGTTTATACATTTACTTTGTAGAGCAGAGAATGAATGAAACATTCTCATACATGGTACCATAATGATTGTAGCAACAAGTTTTTATTGAAAACCAAACTACATTGTAGCTGTCTCACTTCAAGTGTTTGTTAAGTTCAGATCTGATGCACAGTACTACTGAAGATACTTTTTGATTTGATTTATTGAAATTGCAACAGTGCAATACACGCGGAACGGAGGTTGCTGTTGCTGGTGTTGTGTCCCGCACATAGAAACGAATACTGGACAGACAATACTCATTTTCACTTGAGTCTAGTGGGAAAAGTCGTGTAAAATGCCTTTCCCAAGATACTTTTTGTACAACCCCTGCTTTTCTCCATACCCATGCTCATGTTCAGGTGACCAGTAACATGACTGAAGCTGAAGCCACAGCAGAGAACATACAGCAGGCCCAGAAGACAACAGCCCAGTTCGATGGGGAAGTGCAGCGACTGCAGGAACAGGCCGACTCTCTGCACAACAGGTCGTCACAGGCCTTTGCTGAGGCCCAGGCTGCAGTGCAGAGGGCACAGGATAACTTCACTGCAGCTGAGGAGATGCTGAACGTGCTGCAGAACTTTACTGTTCTGTCTCAAGGTAAGACTAACTTGTTTTGTAGACAAATTTAAGGGCACCTCAAACTTAAGGCATATTGATCTTTAGATATTCTACTATTGAACTTTTAATCAAGTGCCCCAAGGGATTAAATCATTAGATATTAGGTCTTTTTTATTGTTCACCAGAAGTTGATATGTTGCAAGCTGTGCTTCACTATTGATAATGCTCATAAAAGCAATGAATTAGTGCTTACTAGTAGTAGCTTTTATGCAACTAGTTAGAATCATGGTAACTGTGTAGTTCATTCAAAACTTTCAAGTTAACTTATAAGTTATTATAGTGTTTTTGACCTCCACTATTTTCCCTTACAGCATACTACAAGAGAGAGCTGTTAACAGTATATGTCCCTTCTACAATCTTTGTTTGATGTTAAAGTTAGGTCTTGTAGGAGATTTAGTCTATACCTTTTTACCTAAACTGGAGAGACAACAATTTTGAATATTTTTCTTTTTCTCTCTCTGCAGCAATGCAGGAGGTGGTGGCCGTGTCCCTGCAGCAGGTGGAACAGGTGCAGTCTGGGAGTCTGGCCGCCACGCAGCAGGCGCAGCAGCTACAGCAGGACCTGCAGTTAGCCGCAGGCACTGCACAGGCTGCACTGCAGCAGGTGGAGAACATGCAGGAAATGGTCAACAATCGGTCACAGGTAAGGGTAGTGATTAGGGGTTTATGTACATGTTAAAAGAATAATTCAGCTTTGAAGCATGCACAACAAGCAGCAGGAATTGCAGTCAGCTGCAGGCACGGCCCAGGCTGCACTGCGGCAGGTGGAGAACATGCAGGCACTGGTCAACAATCGGTCACAGGTAAGAGCAGTAGTCAGAGGGTTTGTCTATGATTATAGTTGAGCTATGCAGCAGGCGCAGCAGCTACAGCAGGACCTGCAGTCAGCTGCAGGCACTGCGCAGGCTGCACTGCAACAGGTAAAGAACATGCAGGCACTGGTCAACAACCAGGTACATCATACAGTAGCTTCATGACCCACAGTCTGACTGCAAGATACATTTGTACATGTACATTGTAGAAAAAAACTGCACTGATACAGCTCATATACATAATTATACAATCATGGAATCTGATATTGATTTAAAGCTTTAGGACACAGGACAACCGTAATAGGTATGTGTAACATGTGATGAAGTAAATCATTATAATTTGACAAAATATTTCTTAACAACTAGACAATTGAATCTATTAAATGTGAACCTTTCTTAAAATTTCTGGTACACAGGAAACATCAGACATCCTCTCTCAGGCTGAGGCACTGAACACTTCAGCCGCCGCCCTCCCCTCGGCTGACCAGGCTGCGGGAAATGTGAGCGCAGCTAACAGCAGCAGAGTTCCCACAATGCAGCAGGCCTGCAGAAACCTGACCCAGGACAAGGACAGGCTGGAGGCGGAGGTCAGGAGGGTTGGAGGTCAGGTCATCGAAACACAAAGGTAGGTCATAGGTTAGAGGTCAATGTCACAGTGATAGTGTCAGACATGAAGGCAAGACATGTGTACAATGTAGGTCTACAAGACAAAAGAACATATAGATTACAATGTAGAAGTCAACAACAGTCTACGACATCTATGTAATTTTGTAGGTCTCACAAGCTACATGTACATGCATAATGTGGCCAGGTACATGTACACAAAACTATTCCAAGGTTGCACTCATTAAAATGCAAATGCTGCTGTTTAGCAAAGTTAGACAGAGCCACTGTTAAATGAAAAAAAAAATACTCTTACCATTGTTTTTTTTCTCATTCTGTTTGTCACTAGTTCTGTGGTGCAAAGTCAGCAAACTGTCTCTCAGCTGGCATCTGACCTTCAAAATGTGCAACTTCTGGACAGGGGGAGACTACAGGACATCAGGAACGAGGTAAGACATAATTTTCTGGTCTTTGCAAGCAGAAGGTATGCTACCAGTATGGTCATTTTACCAAATTATTTTATTTGCATTAAGCAACTCTGTCTTTAAAACAGGCCAAAACCAGGTGTTTTGTACCTCAGTATATGTCAAAACTAAGCCTTTAGACTTCATTTGTGTGATGCTGTTTAAGAGTGAACTAAAATGCCTGTTCATTGTGTTATTACAGGTTGAAGCCTTACGAACGGAAATAACCAGCGAGCAGCTCGACGCAACAATTCAGCAGCTACAAGACAGCAGTACAGCACAGCACACATGGATCCAGGAGAAACATACACAGATCACTACCATCAGAAACAAACTACAGAATCTTCAAATACTGAAAGAACAATTGGGGATCAGGTAGCAAAGGGGAAAGGAAATACAAAATGTAATCCAATAGCTTTTAAGAGATCGTAGGGCAGTGCCATGGGAAACTTACTGCCATGGGAATAGAAAACAGAATACTTTTTGGGACAGGTATGTTGTAGCAATACACATCTGTGAATAGTGTAAAAAGTAAAGTTGTGTTCATCGTAAGGAGAAATATTTCAACATTTCACGTTTTAGATTTTAATAGCATATTCATATGTTTCAGATCTTGTATAAATCTGGTATATTCTACTTTACTGTGTTCTCAAGAAAAGGGCAGATGCTGAAGGGTAAAAGTTTCGTAGACTCTCGACATTTGAAAATTAATGGAACAGTCAAACGGATCCCATAAAGTTGTATCATATCTAATGTAAAGGCTTTAAGAAGAGTGGAGTTTAAATCAATGTAAATAAAGATTATAACATTATCACCCATTGCAAGTAAGAATTCCATTGTATATATTATATACATGTAGTAACACAAGGTGTAATGTTATTTTTTTAAATGTCCTCTTTTGCTCCATGAAATTATACAGCCTTCTTGAGTTTTAGATGAAATGAACTTTCAGTTCAAATGAATTTTCACTTAAAAATCAATCTAGTTCAGTTTACTGTGAAGTTGTTGCAACAACAGAAGTTGAAAGGCAGACAAGAAAGTGTTCAAACCCCTGTACAATGCCACAGTGCTTTAATATGTCATAACTAGTACATGGTTCTCTAGTTCTCTTCCAAAACACCTAGTTCACAGCTCATAAAGACAATCTCCAGTCACATTTACGATTATTTTGTACACCTTCAAGTCTCCACAAGTGCACTGAAACATTATACAGTAATGTATATTGAGTTCTTTGCTAGTAACACAACCCACAAGTCTGTACTAGCTACCAAACTGAATGTTTTGAATTAGTAGCACCTTAGTAGTGTTGTGGAAAAACATTGGCAGATACATGGGTTCTGAGCAAAGAACTCAATATACAGTAATTTTCCAACCTGATAAAATACAGATTATACATGTATATAGTGATCACATCAAAGCATGCCATGTTATTTAGGATTCAGAAAGCTGTACACTGAAAACAAAAGTGATCTGTACAAAAGATTGGTTAAACGTCATCCTCCATTGTACCATCATAGACTTCTATCTTTTGCAACTCAGTCTGAGGAAGAATATAATAAGTCAGCCAAAGGTTATAATGGGCGTTCTGGTACATGTAAATAAAAAACTGCAGCAACAGATGGCAAGTATATTTATCCAGCTCAAACATGGTTTGCAATCTTAAGACAAAGACTTAGTGTTTACAACAGCATAAGCAAAATCTAAATGAAGGGACTTGTTCACAGCTCTTGTTTCAACTTGCAAATATTTTGCAGTAAGTTGTATGAGTATGACAGTAACCCAAAGACATTGTCATCCCAGGATGAAGTTCATTTCAAGTTACCCCTCCTTGACTCATTCCAGCTTGCTCTGTCTGACGTTAACACAAAGAGGGTTGACTTAAAATTTTGCCGATATTCAAAGTCAATACTATCAAGCGCATACTTACAACTGACCAGAAGAATCTAGTTCTCATGCACACAATGTGTACAATACACATGATCATGACTGAGTATTATGTAATGTTAAGTGCCCTGCCATACTTTCATATTTTCTTTACAAATCAACACACAAAACAGTGTATAGTTACAAAATGTCTCATTGTCAAAATCATCATTATAGAACAAGGGTCTATAAAACTGTTCTCCACGGAGTGCCCATGATTATCCGCGGAGTGCAGCTAGCGACCAGGGCAGGCGGAAGTGGCTCACTGGCAGAGGGGTGCAGTGGGTGGACTCATAGTTTATCATGTGTTTGGAAGCCTGTGGGAAAAAAGAGATAAAAAACATTTACACTGAGTTAGCATGAGATTGTGTTGGTAAAAGTCATTATGAAATAAAGTCCTAACTTTCCTTCCAACACTGGAATGAATTGGGACTTACCCTAAATTTACACTGAGGTTACACATGTTTACCTAAAGAACCTAAGTAGTGAAAAGAGTCTACAATCAACCTAATTTTGTCAGATTCGGGTACAAAACCATTGTGGGGAGATGAGGCTTTGAAGAAAATCTTTGCTGTAAAAAACTAAACAGATGCAACACTTGGCCTCACTTCATGAATACCATTTGGGTTTTGAAATTTAGACATGAAGGATGCTTTTTAAACTTGCAACAAAAGAGAACTTTCCAGAGATTGCTACATTTCTATGCAGCATTTTCCTTCAAATAAAACATTTCTTGTTGGTCTGTACATATACCTACCAAAAAGAGCACTAGCTGAGTCTTCTCTTCAGAGCTGAGTTGGTCGCCGATCAGACAGGGGAAGTTAGCGGAGTTTTCCTCCACCCAGGACTTCAGCAGGGACGTGCAGAGCTGCTCATCTACCGAGTACTGGTTATACACAGCAGCTGCAACACACAAACAAACAAATAACCAAAGAAACAAACAGTGAATACCTGTCTCTACCGACAGACTAGTAGAGAAACAAAAAAAACAATTAACAATTGCTTCTCTATTGAGTACTGGTTATACACAGCAGCTGGAATAAATACACAAACAAACAAACAGTTAACATGAAAAGTACTGAGTACTGGTTATATACAAACACAACATGTAACAACATAATAGTAGATAAGATAAAAGTCAGAAACTGGTACATAAGTAAGAAAATGTAATGAAGGTTATGAATACAAAATTTAATGCCTTCTTCTCTTCACCCAAAAAAGTGAGCATTGGTCCAGGTTAGGGCTCAAACACTATGTACATGTAACGTTACATGTACAAATGTATCTCAGTGAAATACCAAATGTAACTACTGGTACCTTGCACTGTGGGGGTGGGTGCTGAGAGCCACTCCCGGAGCATGGTGATGGTGGACTCTGTGATCAGCTTAGGGTATCTAGAAATAAATAATACAGTTCACAAGTAATATTCAACCAACCACAGGGTGTTTGCAAAAGCACCAGTTACCATAGTGACAGACATCTGGTCCATGTCATTGACCTTATGTTATAACCTTATGTGTTTGGTGAAGAAAAAATCAGGCAAAAGCAATTTGGTTACTTTCTGCAAACTTGAGATAAACATGATAAATAACACAGAACCAGTTGACCTCACCTGAACTGCAGCAGTTTGACCAGCAGGTCGTTGCCCCTGTTAGATTCTATAGCATCAGGGTCACTGGAGGTCAAGAAAGAGACATGACATAAGATTATACATGACATTGTACATTCACACATAATCACAACACTTCTGCTACTTTTAAAGACAGTTATCCAATTATCAACTTATTTTACCCTTTTAGTATTACTTTGTAGGAGTGGTATAATTTGTTGTAGATAGGAAATTCTGTTTGATTTCAAACTTTATTCAATGCAGGAGTGTAGTGTCCTTTATAGGTTTGAGAGTGCAGACTGGTACTGAACCTTACATTGTTGTGATCATCTCATCTCTGGTTCTCCTGACCAGCATCACAGGACCTGGGTACCTGGCAGGGCAAAGTAGAACCACATTACACCCTATGTTATCTGTATCATTCTGTATAACTATCATAATTCAGCATGACATACAAGCCTTAGTTTGTGTTAATGTGTAATACGACCATAACATACCACAGACTATATAACAAAGAATGACCAAAAAAAAAACACATTTAATGAAATTCTAAACAAGCACAAACTACTACCTGTTGAGCTGTGCAGCTATGTCCAGGTTGAAGTATGTGTTGACACTTCGGATCACCATACCTCCTGTATGTACAATAGCAACAGCTGAACTGTAGGTTACAAGATTTGACTGGTAATTGTTACAAGTCACAAGATAAAAGGTTCATGTAGTCCCGTGGCCTTTTTTGAAGCCGTCTTACATCTTACACCTGGGTGAAGGGAGGAAAGTGACTTTCACAAGTCTTAGAGCACAACTACTAGCCACAGGAATACAATGTATCAGGGATCAGGAGTCCATGACCATTCAATCTTGTGTGATTTAGTTAATATTTACTTATAACCTGAAGACTGATATTTTAAAAAGCCACTAAAGCTCACGTAAGCTCTCTGGCATCCTTGATATTGCCAAGGGCAAAAGGTCATCAAAGGTCGCATCCAGAATGACCCCGCTGACGGTGGGGTGGTTCATGGCTGCAAAGGATGCTGGGTATCCGCCGATGGACCATGCGAAGATGATGATGTTGTCGGGAGAGAACCCTAGCTGATGCACGGCATACTGCAGCACAACGTCGATCGCATTCCCCTCATTCTCCGGCATTGGGATACCCTTGGGGAAGATGAGATACAAGTTTAGTAATACCACCAAGAAATGTTATGCATGAAATTTAAACTGCACTTTCCGACATAAGGAACATGATTTACAAGGAAACGTTTTTACAGTAACAATATAACATACCTGATATATTTACATCGTAGCTGATGTTTGTATATATAAACAGCTCAGAGAAGTCATACTTTATACTGTGCTGCTTATTTTTATACTGTGCTACTTATTTTAATACTGTGCAACTTATTTTGATAGAGTTATAACCTACCGTGCTGCCACCAAAGCCAGGGTGGTTCCAGCCCAGCACAGAGTAACCAGCTGCAGAAAGAACACAGATTCTGATGAATATGACTTCAAAATTCACAATTTCAACATGATAATAATTTTTTTTCTTTCAGACACAACAGAAAGACAAGTACACTACTACAAGCCCTCTGCTGGTCTAAGAGCTATCATCCTAAAGCCTGACCTCCTTTTCTGTTATAAGAATCATAACTGAGTCTAGTTATCATTTGTATGAAGTCACTGACAGTGTATAAAACTCACCATCCAGTGGTGTACACATGCACCCAACTTCATAGAACCCCGCATTTCCCTCACTGGTGATGACCTAAGAACAGACAAGCACATGGAAATGTTTACATATTGACGTGCAGAAATTGGCTACAGGAAGAAGATTTAAGCATTAACTGTGTAAAGTGTTATCTTACTCCCCATTTTTCCATAAGGAAATGCAAGAATTCGACATGCAATTTTGATCATCAAAGCCTACACATGTACAAAAACAAACAAACAACAGACCAGTTTCCTGCCCTTCTCCTCTCCTGTTGACCTCCTGTCCACAAACATGGTGTCGATTTCGTTTCCGTCCTGAGCCAGCAGTTTTGCACGCTCTCCGTCATACTACAGACACATGAGGTACAAGTACAACAGTATTACGTTACTGTCATGAATAGGTTGGTAAGTAACTTTATAGTAAAGTTCTTTACTTCTTTAGCTGAACATATATCTAGTACACATCAACATTTCTGTGACTGTTTTTCACCTTCCTCGGGGCAATACTTACTGAATTCTACTTTAAACTACAGCTAGGTATCACTACTTCAGTGTTACAAAATCGATTATTTGATCAACATCAATCATGGGTAAAGATGCAAACATTATTTTCTTTCTCACCTTTTCCACCAGTTTCTTTCGACCCTCCTGAAGCATTGGAGCTGAAAAATTATGAGAAAAAAAGAAATTATTGTATTGTCTGTTCAACAGTACTTAGTGCAAATCAGCTAACACTACATGCCTAATTGGCTACAAGGTTGTGTATATGTTAGTTTAAATAAAAACATCATGCATACAAGTTCCACTTATTACATAAGTATAAACCCTACCCATAGCCTTCTGCAGCAGCCCCACTGTGCCAGGGTAAATCATACGCCGTCCAAATGTGTGCACCATCAGGTAGCTGGAACAAACACAGGACTCATTGGAAAGATGTCATGATATACATTCAGGATAAATTCTGACAACATTTCAGAACAGATAGAGAATATATTGTCAGTATGTTTACACCTTATTTCAGCATGAAAGCTGATCATCTGATTACTAGTAGGTAAATGATAACATGGATCCTAAGTTGACTGAAGAAGTGATAGATTTGATGAGTCTCTCTGTATTGGAACATGGTTAAACAGTTTGATCCCTAATGTTCCTACCTGGCCACATCACAGGGCAGTCCCCACACCTTGTCTGCCACGCCGCGGGCCTTGGACCTGGGCTGGAGCCTCTTCATCGGGACATCCCTACATACACACAAAAATGTGTCTTATACTAAGTTATAGTCTTATACTGTTCTTGTTGCCATACTAGATGCTGCAGGTGGCCACAAACCAGGAAAACCTAGAGTGCTACTGTCATCTTTTGAGATAGAAGGATGCCTACTACTAGTGGTAATTTGAGGCCTGGCATTTCAGGTGTACATGTGTGTACACTACAGTTTGTAAAAACAGGAGCTCACCTGTTGGCCACCTGCGTCCAGCTGTAGTTGACCGGCCACGCCCAGAAGTCAAAGTCATACCTGGCCAGCCTCACCTGGTGGAGGGAAAAGAGCAAATCAGCAGAGTTCTACACACCTGGCAAATGTGTCCTACATTTGCAACTCCCATTGTCTCTGCCGGACTAATACTAGTAATAGGGATGATAATACCAAAGGGATAGACAATACAGGGGGTAAATGTTAACTTTATTTCCCACGGACTGACTCTCCTGGCCAATTATTCCCTTTTTGAAAGAATTCTACAATCTGTATCCCCACAGGAAGGCCTGGTGGAGACTAAATATGTAGCTCCAAGAAAAAGGAAGTATTTGAAGGCAAAATTCTGTATCTCATCCAGGAGTACCCCCTCCAAAACTACACACATGTTGCACACTGCTTTGGGTGGTTTTACTCCTACCACCACCATACTGTAAATGTCATGGGGAGATCGCTGGGTTTATCTCTGTTTTTCTAACCTTATTTTCTACAGAGAAGACCTGTCGAGCTGCAGTCAGGATGGCGATGAAGGTACAGTAGTCAGGGTTAGCCCATCTCCCGATGCCTGGGGGAGAAAATGTGAATTATGGTTTTGCAGGGAGGGATAGGTATTGACCTTAGACAAGATAATACATTTGAGTGACTGAGTGAAGAGAAAATCGAATTCTGAATCTGAATTTTAGAGGATTCTTACTTTGAATTACAAGAGTGTGAATAATCAGTTTCTGTATCTGTACTCGTACTGTATAGCTTGTACAAGTACCCTTCAGCGTAACACGCCAGCTAGGTTTTTTTGCTAGGATACATTTTATGGATACAAAATCACAGATGGTAGATTACCGGGTAAGAAGCGCATAACTTAAAGCTATAGTATAAAGAAATAACATGGTAATGCCTTCACCTCTTAGCCAAAACGCCCCTGACAGTATGACAGCTGTAGCCATGGCCATACGGAGTCCACTGTTCATGCCTTCTATGGTGAAATACCCTGGAATGGGGAAACAACAACTCTGGATCAAAACATTACAGTATTATATTAGCCTTCAGTATTGTTGGTACATTCTCCTGTATTCTTACTCTTAGCCTCACAGTTGACTGAAAGTAAATGTTTACATCTTGAATGTTCGTTATAGAATATAAACAGAATAAAAACATTCTCTGGAAAATATGTTTCCCCCATTTACTATCATTGCTTCAATAGGCAGTTTGTTAAATGAAGAGCATCTAGATATTTAAAATCCATGTATGTCACTATGTGTACCTTTCCGGTACAGGTAGGTGACGAGGATGGGAGAAGTCCAACAGGACAGAGACCACATGAAGGATGCCTGGAAAGAAAACATAATTTAGAGTCAGTGTGGATCTATACAACAAAATGTATTTGAAGCAAAGTTAACCCTTGTATTTCTAAGTATTTTTCCAGTAAACCTGAAATGGTTATTTGTTGTAATTTTACTGGCAGATAAATATCTCACCCATTGTATGATCCTGTCTCCCAGAACTTCAGCTGTGTTGGCTTCATACGGACGACTCTGCAATATGAACATGACAGATATGAATCTTAGCTTCTATTGTCTCTACATAACATCTATTTACCATACATATATACTACGGTACCTTTTGAACATTCAATTTGGACTTTTAACTCCCAATTGCAAGTTATGAGGTTTACAATTACAATTGTGCATTCCTATACTACCTGCCTATGCTTTATTATGTTCAGACATATTTAGATCATGCTTTAGAGTTATTCAGACCATATATCCAGACCATATTGCAGTTCTATTGTAGTTGTGCATTTTGTATGAACATCAATTTGGCCACCTCAGACAAAACGTGTCACTGTGATATTGTGACTGATATGAAATCATGAATTATTTAATAAACACCATATTGTTTAGAGAACTAGCTGCCCGAGTGCCACAGAGTGAGACCTATGTGTAGTTTACACAATATACAACCAGCCACAGTTGACCTGTAGGTCATTTCTACATTGTAGTTAACGTTACGTCATTCTGCATGGAAATACCGATGACACAGTAATTTATGTTCCGCCTATGAAAGTGAAAGACAGCCCCCCTCCCCAAATTAAAAGGAAAAATTTATATTATGTAGGAGGACGTTACATTTTGGGGAAATAATTTCTCGTATAGGACAGTACAGTTGCTAACGTATATGTCTTTCGCATAACCTAGTAACCAAGAAACTAGTTACCAGCTAGCTGATTACATGGAATATTGAAGATGCCGACAAAAAATATTTTATTGAAATGCCCCCCCCCCCTCGGCGATTGAAACAAAACACCCAACAGAACCCTAAATCCTTGCGTTGGCCGCACATAGTTTTTGTCAACGCTAGCTTGTGGCTTCTGCCGTTATTCTGCCTTCTTCCCGCCCCTTACGTACCTTTCCTTCGCTGTTGGCGGGGATTCGGAACAGCCTAGGTCCGGTCGCACAGCGCCAGAGAGCAGCCATTTTGGTTTTGGTTCGGTCTAGATTACTGCAGTTTTCTTACTACTTGCTAGGTGGCGCTAGTGATAGGCCGTGACAGCATTTGGCTTCTTTCAATTTCAAAAAATGTCATGTTTCGCTACGCGATCTATGTCATTCTTAACGTTTCGGCAAGATATTATACAAATATACAATTACGACCTAAGCAATCACCAAATATCATGACCAGCCGCCATCTATCTATTTAGTCAATGTACACCCGGCCCGTACCACGGTACACTCTTTCCAGCCGCTTCTAAAGCCTGGTACACTGTAACTGTTACTACAAGTAAAACTATACCGGTAGAGGCTTACAAGCATCACGTCCAGACATTAAGCCTTTGTTAACGTTGGTGTAACCTACTTCAGCTACAATGCTACACAGGAGAGCGACTTCATGGTATCGGGTTACCGGGTCACATGTGATCACTCAGCCTAGTATTCTTCGTGATAGAGTTTGTAAACCGTACATTTCGAAATGAATTAAATCCAATTTACCTTATCTATGGTGACCTTCGAACATAAACTAGGAATAAGATGCTTTTGTATGTTATTATGTGAATACCAAAGCAGTCTGTTGTCTAATACTGGCCAGCTTTCCGTGCAAAATATTGTACACGCAACGGAAATAAAATTGCCTCGATCCAGGTTTAGCTTCGATTCCTAAAAAGCTATTCATCCCAATTTTTCAACAAATGAGAGCCAGTGCAACGTCTTAACAACAAGTACAATGGACGGCGGACCACAGCTGACCTTCCCGTCAGTCCCTGGCGGTTGACGCAATTCGAGTGAGCGACAGTATTTAGGATGTACTTTAGTATACTGTCTCGGGGCCACCATAAGAGCTGTTTACCAAAGAACCACAAAGACTACTTGTACGTTAGCAACAAATATCATGATATTGTGCCCTACCTAGGCCTAGGGTGAACTCACAAAGACATATTAGAGGTAACGTTTCCCTCAGACGGACGCTTGCTTCAGGAGGACGTGTCAAGGATGGCGCTGGTCCTTTACGTCACGGTGGCTCTAGTGTCTGCTTTCCTGTGGCCGAGTCTGTGTGGTTCTCTCACGGAAGATGAGATTCTTCAAGGGCTGGAGACGAACATGAACAGTCCAGAGGTGATAAACACCAGACTGACGCAGCATCTCATCGCACGTTACCAGGTAAGGTCTACGTAGAAAGTAGAGAAATGTTATTATGTAGCAAACTAATGGGGCAAGGAATTGCTCCCGAGCAGCCTTCGTAAACCATACTTCTCTTATTGGGTCACTGGATATAGTCCTTACTCTCACTGAGTCAAGCTTGTCTTGAGCACCAGCATTGACATGGTACGATTTTGAAGACGTGGATTTTTGTTTGTTTGTTTGTTTGTTTGAAAAAAATTATTTATTCATGAGAAGCTCAAATCGGCCTGTAGGTCGCTTTTCATTGGGGTCATGATGAGAGAACAGGTAAGGGTCAGGCATGATATTTTCAAGCAGGCTGTCACAGAACCAACCACCAAAAAGGATCTAAAATTCTAAAGTAGTCTTTTTCGTATAGTGCAAACTCATGCAGTTTGAGAAACCGTAAAGACCGTTAAAGAGTCTAACATTGCGTTAGGTTAAAAGGCTGCCAAAAAATCTCTTTATATAATTATATTGTGTGTTTTTGAAGGTGCGTGGACCATCGCCCTCAGTGTCGCAGCTAGCTGTAGAGCTGTAATATCTCATCAAAGGCGGTAGCTAGCCACATGACACCGAAAGAGCTGTTAACCCTTGCACATCTAACTGCAAGTGTTGTAGTATGTAGTGATTCCCCGACTGTATTGAACGTCTTTGTTTCTGAAGGTCGACCATCGCCTGCAGTGCTCGCAGCTCTGCTATCTAACCAGAGACTGTCAGTCCTACAACTATCACGAAGATGAAGGCGTCTGTGAGCTGAACGACCAGACTTACATCCAAGGTCTCGTCAGTTTTTCCTTCACGACTGGGCAGGATCCCGGCTGGGACTACTACGAACGACACTCGTTCTACATGATAAGGGTGATTGTGCTTTACGCAACGGTGTCTTTTTTTATAATTTTCGTGTAAGTAAAGCATCATCAGAAGAATTAGGAAAGGGAACATATCTTTCTGATTTGCAGCATACTTTGAACATATTTAAACAAAAAATGTAGTTAAACTTTGCCTATATATAACTATAACCGTGATTTTTAGGGTGAAAATTGAAATTGCTCGATGTACAATACAATACTGTATCTTTACCGCGCTTCCTCCTAAATATAAAATTCTAAATCTTATAAAATGTATGCTGTTGCTCTTGTTAAATAAATTGACTCTGAACCCCTGCATAATATGTAGGCGTGGTGGTACGAGTGTCCCGGGTCCAGCCCGTGCCAGAATGGCGGAGTGTGCACCCGGAAGGTCCTGGGCGGTTCGGGGGGAGAGCGGCAGCCGTGCACTCATCTCTGCGTCTGTCCTGTGGGCTACTCCGGTCCTCATTGCAGCAGTAAGTTTTTTTAACCTTCGTAAAGAAGCTGTTTGTATGTATGCGTTTATATATGTATGTATGCATTTATAGATGGATGTGGCTTAGCACGATAACTCAAGAAGCTATGGATGGATTGTCACGAAACTTAGTGGGTGAGTATGGTGGATTGTAATATGGTAATGCAGTGAAACTTCCGGTTTTTTTTCAATTGATTAATTATTTTCATTGATCGCTATTTGAAACAACAGTAGAATAGAACATGCAACAGAAGATAAGTACACTCGTGAGGTAGGTTGAAGTTCGTTGTTTAAAAGTACCCCTGTTATAAACTTTACATTTGCGTAGTGCTTTCACCATTACTTGTTTTCCCCAATGTCAATAGTTCGAGACTGCCAGGTAGGCAATGGAGCGTCCTTCCGAGGAAAAGTCACCGTTACGAACACAGGCAGGATCTGTCAACGCTGGGACAGCCAGACGCCACACGGGCACGGGAGAACTCCCTCGGGGTATCCGTCATCCGGACTGGAGCGGAACTACTGCCGGAATCCGGACGGCGAGTCCGGAGTTTGGTGCTACACCACGGATCCGGGGAGGAGATGGGAGCTGTGTGACGTGCCGCAGTGTTAGTTAGTTAAAGCTAGTTCAAGCCCTCTCGCAACCATAAGCATGGTCGCATATGGCGGCGCCTTTCTCCGTTTCATATACACACAGTTGTATAATCACTACAGCGGGGTAGTGGTGTGTGTTTAACTCCAATACTCGTTCTCAGTCTCTACAGTCGAGGCTGAGGAGTGACTGACAAATGACTGACAAAAGAGTTCTGATATATATTCTATTGTGTCTGAATGTATTGTTAAAACCAAAAGACGGGAAGTTGACAAATCTCTTACAGCTAGCTTGAAGAACACACACAAAATAAACAACGCCTAGCAACACAGTCTGTTTAAAGATAACATATGTGCTACAACTATTTCTAAACGCTAAGGATCCGGTATACCGCAAGTTAGATTACTGAAACAAAGAAAACGTATAGAACAACCACGTAACAACACCTTCGATTTAACCGGAGGCTAGACTGTCCAAACACTCCACGTACAGTTGCATTTTACACAATACATCTAGTTCTAGTAAAAAATGCTAGCTATACGGAACATGTAAAGATAATGACTCAATAAAAGAAAAAAAAATCAGTGGTCACAATATTAAAAGAAAAACACAATGAGATAAACTCTCATCATTCAAATACATTGCTTCTGACCCATATGATGCCATATCATGTAAGCCTTGCACAGCCATTGATAGGCTTTGGATCAGAGTACATGTATTACGAAAGCTTTTATTATACCATCAACATGTGGACTGTTTCTGGCGAAAGTGGTTCCATATGTGCGACTCTAACTGACACAGAGTAGTGAACTGCTTGCCGCACTCCTCACATCTGTACCGTTTCTCATCAGTGTGAGTCCGCATGTGTCTCTTTAGACTTTTCTGCGTAGAGAACTGCCTACTACACTCTTCACATCTGTACGGTTTCTCACCAGTGTGAGTCCGCATGTGAACTTTCAGAGTATCCAGCTGACTAAACTGCTTGCCGCACTCCTCACACCTGTACGGTTTCTCCCCTGTGTGGGTCCGCATGTGACTCCTCAGATTACTCCGCGCGCTGAACTGCTTGCCGCACTCCTCACAGCTGTACGGCTTCTCACCTGCGTGACTTCTGATATGTCTCTTGAGATTGCCCAGTTCAACAAAACACCTGCCGCACTCCTCACACCTGTACGGTTTCTCTCCCGTGTGAGTCCGAATGTGCGCCTTTAAGTCTGTAAGGTTAACGAACGACTTGCTGCACTCCTCACACCTGTACGGGCGCTCCCCTGTGTGAGTCCGCACGTGCGACCTTAGAGTACCCGGTTGTCTGAACTGCCTGCCACACTGCCCGCATCGGTAAGGTTTCTCGCCCGTGTGATACCTCATGTGCTTCTTCAGATAACTCGGGAAGAGAAACGCCTTGCCGCACTCGCTACACTTGTGTGGACGCGGAGAATCCGTGTGAGAAACCATGTGTTTCTTCAGGTAACTCAAGAAGCGAAACACCTTGCCGCACTCACCACACTTGTGCAGGGGATAGGGAGAATCCTGCTCTACGCGCCCCTTCTCTCCCTCCGCTTGTTCCAGACGGGATTCAGCTGTCGCCATGTCGAGCCTACAGGACATGTAAAATTCAACATTCGATATTTCATTTTGAGAACAAATGGGCACCGATAAGACCCCGGTTTTGCAAGGAGACAATGTATTTGAGGGACAAAAGACGGCAAGAGTTTGCACGGGGAACATAAAAAACTACAACGAAATAAAACCATGGAAGTAGTCGTGAATAAATACAGGAAAGCAATATTATGGTCAGCACTTACCAAGTTGCACTGACGCTCCAAAGTACTGCACGATGTTTTCACGACGACACAGATCCTCACGGCTGCAGAGTCAGTACTGACAGAAACAGAGCAGTCAGGGACGCGTTTATACAGGGACTGAGTGGGTGGGTAAAACCGATCCGATGGGTTTTACTTGATTATGATCATGTTACATGAGCCAATTTGCATTGGGGAAATCAGACATCATTAGATAAAAAGACAATCACTTGACATTAGCAACAAAGACAACAACACATTACGTGTTTTAATATATTGTTGAAACTGAGATAGCCAATGTTTTGTTTCGGCAGACTGTCTAATCTTATTTAGTGAAAGATAAATAAATGGCCAATTATAGTTTGAAATACATCAAACACTTCCTTACAGCATCAAAGCTACCGATAAAGTACTAGTGTACAAATAACCACTGAGTCAATAAAACTAATTTTGCACCCTCTATAGTCGACATACATTAACGATAAAGACAACAGCATATTGGAGTGTTTTAATTTATTGTTGAAACTGAGATCAAAGGGAATTAAGGTTGTCTGCATACAATGGAACTGTTTCGTTTCGGCAGACTGTCTAATCTAATAACAAAACATGCAGAAAGTAGACTCTAGCAGCTACATGTAGCGTACAGAACGTTTGGAAACAAACATAAAGCTATACTTTTGACAAAATATTTATACTAAACACACAACGAAAGTTCAGCTATGTAAAACATAAAGTGGAGATCTAATAAATAAAAAAAAAAGAAAAAAAGAAGAAAAACATAAAGTTACATTTTAATGGATTTATAACTAGTATGCATGCTGTGATTAACTCTAAACGCTAGGGACCTACTAAATTTACATCAGGCAGTCAAATATAAAGAGAAAAGTAGAACTTTTAGTTACTAGTACTAAAACGAAGACAACAAGTCAACTTAGCGTTAGTACGGACGGACGGTGATGTCAAAGAAACGGTGTCTTGCCATGTACTAGTAACTCGTCCGTATTGTTCTAACATATTACGGAACATGCAATATTAATTACTTTACAGAGGAGTCATGTAGAGATTACAATATCAAAAGAAAACAGTAAAAAAAAGAGGTTACGTTGGTAAAAGAATAACATAGTGAGATCTGACCCCATCTGTAAATACCAACATTGCGGTTGGCGCATATGATTTCACATGATGGTCTTTACACAGACATTGGCCGGTCGGTATGAGTACGCATGTGTGTCTTCAAGGTAAATAACCGACTAAACTGCCTGCCGCACTCCTCGCAATTATACGGTTTCTCACCTGTGTGAGTCCGCACGTGTCTCTTTAAACCACTCCGCGAGCTGAAGTGCCTGCTACACTCCTCACACATGTAGGGTTTCTCACCTGTGTGAGTCCGCACGTGTCTCTTTAAACCGCTCCGTGTGGTGAACTGCCCGCTACACTCCTCACACATGTAGGGTTTCTCACCAGTGTGAGTCCGCATGTGTGTTATAAGAGTAGACTGCTGGTTAAACTGCATGTTGCACTCTTTGCAAATGTGAGGTTTTTCATTAGTGTGAGTCATAATGTGCCTCTTTAAATCTGACAGCCGAGTGAACTGCCTGCTGCACTCCCCGCATTTGTAAGGTTTCTCACCCGTATGAGACCGCATGTGTATCTTTAGATTTACCAGCTGACTAAACTGCTTGCTGCACTCCCCACATCTGTACGGTTTCTCACCAGTGTGACTTCTTATGTGCTTCTTCAGAGTACCCAGCTCAGTGAACTGCTTCCCACATTCCTCGCATCGGTACGGTTTCTCACCAGTGTGGGTCCGCATGTGTCGCTTCAGACTATTCTGGAAGCTAAACGCCTTGCCACACTCGCCACACAAGTTGTAGGTACGCGGAGAATACCGCTGTCGACGCCCATTCTCTTCCTTCTCTTGTTTCACAAGGAATTCAGATGTCTCCATGTCTCCATTCTCTTCCTTCTCTTGTTTCACAAAGAATTCAGCTGTCGCCATGTTGATCAAACCTACAGGAATTATGTAACATACAACATTAAAGATTTTAATTATGGACACCATGAAAACCCCGGTTTTTCAAGGACACATATAATATATTTGAGACACAAAAATACGGCAAGATATTGCATGGGAAATATGAAAACCTACAAACCTACAAACAATGAAACCAACAACACCATAAAACCTACAAGTTAACAAAATCTCTTGAATCTGTTTTATACTGTCAGCTGATGGATTAACTTCTTGAAATGCATAGTTCGGAATGCTAAGGATTCAAACAACCAGTTTCGCATAAGTAGTCAACAATGAAAAGTAAGTCTAAATGTAGAAACAAAGCCGATTTATAATGTACATGTATAATGACATACAACAAGATGCCACATGGCAGTGAATAAAAAAAACACGAAATGATACAACGAATGAATGAAGACCTTTATTGTACGCACATCCACTGGGTTAAGTACAGGTCACAAAAAAGGATGGGATATAGATAACGTTACATACATACATCGTCAAGTAGCGCTAGCTACAATCACGTAAATTCGGCTTCTTCTCGTTTCTTAATGGCAAAAATGTGAGAACAGATATGTTTCAATACAGAAGGTTTGTCTAAGCTCATTAGAAATATAAATTTATCTGTACAGCTTAGAAGCTAGATGTATAAAGAAGGGGAACATAGGTTGTATCAGATTATAAAGATCTACTCTCTCTTTGTGGTATAGTTTACATTCTGTTACAAAATGTTTCTCGTCTTCGATTCTTCCTAGATCACATGTACAGTACCGACATATTTGTTGTTCTAGGGGAGTGCGGTTATGTCTACAACAAGCTGTCACAAGGTCGTAGTCACAGAGAAATAACTACAGAAAAAAACATAGTCGGCACTTACCAAGTTGCACTGACGCTCCAAAGTACTGCACGATGTTCTCACGACGGCACAGATCCTCACGGCTGCAGAGTCAGTACTGACAGAAACAGAGCAGTCAGGGACGCGTTTATATAGGGACTGGGTGGGGTGGATAAAACCGGTCCGGTGGGTTTTACTTGATTTCGAAACAAAGGAAAGTAAGATGCTGGTGTGCATAGGGAAGAGCCAGACAACATCAGGAAAAAGAGACCAAGACATCAGACAACATCATTAGATAAAACTTGGACAATGACGATAAAGACAACTACATATTACGTCTTTGTTGAAACTGAGATCAAAGGGACGATTGTCTTCATACACTACTAACGATAGCGAATGAAAGACAACGACATATTACGTGTTTTGCATTTATTGTTGAAACTGAGAAAGTTGGTAAATGTATGAATACCCCAGATGCATTTTTCACACTAGTACTTTCGTCTAGTTGTAATCAAGGAGATACATGTAACACCGGTGTTATAACTTCCTTGTTCGAATCAATAGTTACTCACATCACGACCGATTTGAAATACCAGTGGTACCGCGACACAGCGAGTGTAGGAGGTCAACAAAGGTCTTACCTGTCTTTCAAAACTGCCCAGGGTTGATACAGAGCCGAAGTAAGATGGAAATCACTTCAGATTGGAGAGAAATAAAAGACACCCCACACACGGCTCAAAAATGGCGGTTTAGCGTAAACAGATAGGTCAAACCACAGAGGGTAAAGGTTAAAGGTGACAAACCTGATTACCCGGCTCAAGGATTGTGTATTTACGGACGCCTTGTCGGATACAGTAGAGGGGATTTTGTCTGGTATATCAGTTTAAACGATTGTCTATGCTACGGGTAATACAATTATAGTAAAATGAGAAAAAGAAGGAGATATTTCCAAGGTGGAAGCTGTATTGAAGATGATGAATAGTTACGAGATATATGTCGCAGCAAGACAACATCTCCACACAATAAAAAAAAAAAACTTCGAGAATGACGACGAAGATGATAAACAAACGAGACCACATGACGTGTATGAATTTATTGGTGACACTAAAAATGAAAACGGACAATATTTCGATGCATTTAAAACTAAAACATACTACATGAATAACTACAAGTAGTTGACTAAGTTCTTCAACAGACGGACAAAAAATACAACATGTACATATTACTAGTTTTGATTTATTGGCGACACTAAGATGCAGAAAGTTGACAAATCTCTAACAGCTACTGTTATGTATTCTACAGAACACTTGGAAAACAAAATTAACATTCTTTTGCATTTACAACTAACATTTACGCTGCTAATTCCTATTTTGAATTCTTATTAACGTCCCATATCTGCTTTTTTTTCAGAATGTTCTAGCCTCTTCCAGGCTTGGTAAGGCGGCTGGAAAGAGTAGAAATCGGCCAAATAGAGAGATAAGCATGCCAAGGGAGTTTGTCCGTTGAGAGAACGCGGCGAAATGTTCTCTCAATGGACAAACTCCCTACTCTTTCCAGCCGCATCCCCAAGCCTGGTAGAGGTTAAGAATGTTCTACTGAATGACGAATCTAGTCATGAATGCACATTAGTTAATAAGTGGTCCCTCGGCGCACATTGAGAGGGCGGTAACATCAGGTCAAGGCCACGATGTCAGAACTTTGCGTGACTCCAGCCGTTTTATATCTACTTGTCACCGTTCTTAAAGCTAATTTGACAAAAATTTTGTGGAATTGATTTAATGTTGATTTCCCCAAACATGCTGACAACGTTGCCCTTGTTACATCACGATCTGACAATTTCTGCTTCAAAGTGAAGACGAGGTGGGATTTATGTCTCCAATTCCTTTTATTATTTCGAAAAAGATATATTCAAAGTCAAGGTTATTTATACAGAGTTTCCCAGATTTCAAAATGTAGAAAGATAAATTTGTTTTCATTATTGAATTGGACAAGCCGTGTTTTAAAGGCTACACATGTTCATACATCTACAACTGTAGTCTCAAGAAGACTGAGAAGAAGCTGAAACTGTACATAGCAGTCGAACAAACTGTACATAGAAGAACGAACAAAAACTATTATCATTAAACTACCATATAGGAAACCACAATATTTTGATTCAGAATTAATCTAAAACTATTTTCGGAAGATGATTTTCTCCAGCCCCAGCAGAGGCGCCTCCACCGTCACAGACACCAGGAACGCCAGCCCGTAGGACAGAACCAGGTTACCCACGAACAAATACGTCTGCAAAGACAAGGATACGATCAAGATCAACCAATAAACAACACGTAGAATATGTGATTTGTTTACGGCCCCAAGAGCTACCGGACTCAAAGAGTGAGTAAGTGAGTGAGTGAGTGAGTGAGTGAGTGAGTGAGTGAGTGAGTGAGTAAATGAGTGAGTGAGTGAGTGAGTGAGTGAGTGAGTGAGTGAGTGAATTAATGAATAGGTGAGTGAGTGAGTGAGTGAGTGAGTGAGTGAGTGAGTGAGTGAGTGAGTGAGTGAGTATACCGGCATTACGCAAAAACAAAGAAGAGAAAGGTAACGACAAAGTACATGTAGAAGCGTACTCAAGTTGTGTTAGTCAGCACCATTCGGTCTCTGAAAGGGTGTATAAACCTACTCTCCAAGCAGAGGTTGTGGGGAATGATCGTTACCTTTTTATATATGGCCGTTTTTTTTGTCCTGATCCCCACCCGTCGGTGGCCGCGGAGCTTCTCTGGCCAATGGATACTGCCTGGCCAATTTGATACTGTCTTTTTGCCACCGAGAGGGATCTGCTTGGAGATTAGTATAAACCATGTCTAGACCTACCACGGAGATATTGGTGAAGTGGAAGGGGACTTCCCGTGTGTAGAACACGGCGTAGATGACCATGGGATGTACCAGGTAGGCGCAGTACGTCAGCCGGCTGAGAGGCACGAACAGGTCCCACGACAGGAAGGAGTCCACCACTCCTACAAGGAAGATGGGCATTTCGTTTTTATTTTGTAATCATACAGGTAGCATAGCATTGAGAATTATCTTTATCTCAACTTACAAACGTACAGGCCCCATGACCGTTACGGGTTTATCACTCGTAAAAGACGTGGACATTTTGACACCCTAGTCACAATTTGGCCTCACAATTATTACTTATCCAAAAGGAGTGGATTTTTTTTTTTGGGGGGGGGGGGCTGTTTGCTTCTGTGTCTATCTATCTATATCTTTACATCTCCCTCCTCTCTCTAACTCTGCCTTATCTGCTAGAGACAATATAAGAACGTTCAAAGATTGGACTACCAAAACTTTCGTCTTATTACTTTATCTTTGTTGTTAGTGTATTGTAATTACTTGCAATATGCATGGGCAAATAAAAAACAACAAAAATAGAAAACTTTTTTTTACCTCCGTATCCATAGAAGCAGGCGAGCACCACCCATCCCAGCGCCATGCCCCACGCGGTCCGGTGTACGGTCAGGTAGAAGGCGTTCTCGGAGTCGGTCATGACGGTGCCGTGGTACGTCCCGTACAGCCCGTACAGCACGGCCAGGGCGGTGGCGGTGGCGACGGCCCAGCCAAGGGGGGCCAGGATCATCATAACCTATGAGTACAAGATGAAAGTATTGTTTTGGGTGCCGAGTTGTTACATTCCAAAACGTGTTACTCCAAAACATGATATGGAATGAATCAATTTTTGAAATACAACACAACATACATTCCAATTCGTATTATTATATTCAGGAATGAACCATAACACGATTTGCAATGAATCACGAGTTGCGGGCTTATATATATCAGAGTAGGTGAGCATGTGTGGCAACATTGACAAGCAAAATGACAAGAGGTGTTAAGTTCAGACACAGGAAATGGAGCGGAATCGAATAACACAAAAGCAACAAAAAATTCAGAAAGTCTGAAATCTCCATTTTCCTTTTTTAAAGGACCAACTAAATGAATGATAGAACAAGATGATCCTATGACCACCGTATCCACGGCAACACCAGGATGTTCCGACCCACCTTCCGGTGGTCCGATTTCCGGTTGATCCTGACCATGAGCCAGCCGACCGTCATGCCGACCAGGTACGGCCCGATCCGGCACCACGGCTTCATGTAGTAGTCCTGCATGAAGTTCGGCCTAGACGGATAGAAAAGATAAAGGTGACGATGGTCCATTTGCCTAGGCCTTAAAGGGGGTCTTATGGGTAGTGGCCATGGGTTGTTGATGTGGGCAGGGTAGGCAGGGCCCGTCTCTCTTCTTCCGCTGCTTTTAAGAGTACTTCTTGCAGCAGAGGTCATTTCGTTTGATACCTGAGTCTAAAAGTAAAATGTGTCACCTGACAACAAGGTCAAGCTCAAGTAAACTTGCTCTGGAAAATCGTTTACCAAAATGATAAGTATCCATCCAATGGCACAAAGTCTCAAGATGAAGTAGAAGTTGTCTTACTGTCTTTTGATGTATTTCATTGAAATTGAGACGGCAATACAATGGCATTGCCGCTGATACTGGGTGCCTTCTGACATAATAAATTAGACATAACATCTTACTGTCCTAGTCCCAAGACGCTGGGGCTGAGTTTATCATGTAGACAGATGACGGCTGTCGCGATGAAGCTGGATAACAGGAGGGCCAGCTTCAGGGCAAATCCTACAGGCCTCCATCTGTGAAGGGTTTAACATATGTTACACCCTGGTGTATCCAGAACCGTGCTGGATCCAGAACCATGTGCAGTTCACGCGCATCCAGAACCATGCATAGGGCAAATCTATGATCTTGGATATGCGGAGACTATCCAGAATCGTGCCTGAGCCTAATCCTAAGTTAACTTATTCAGCCATATAACTAAATAGCACCGTTCAGGATACCATAACCCCTTTTTCACCAGATTCTGCACACGCTGAGCGACTGCCGGGTGACCAAATATTTAACAGGTCCCTCGGCGAATTTCATAGTTCATTCTCGATACAATATGCAAGTTGCTTTAGCCATCGTGACATCATCACTTAAAGCAATTGAGGTTCAGACAGGTAAGAAATCTAAAAATCTATAAGATAAATGTATGGAACCGATGCGTTGATATCAGATTTACAATATATATATACATATATATATATGTCCACACACACACACACACACACACACACACACACACACACACACACATATATATATATATATATTCTTTTTTATTTGATTTAATGACGGTAAGTACCTGGAAAGCAGGTAGACGACAGGAACGCCGATGACGAAGAACTGCATGTCGTTTGCCAGGTACCAGGACCAGCCCATACACTACGGACAGAAACATCATCATGTAATAGGTGATAGTAAAAGGGTAAAGGTTGTCCCGTAGCCTTTTTGTGAGGCTGTGGGGGCGGTGGGATGTTAATGCACTGTGGGCACGGTATTGGAATGTGGAGCCCAATTCCGCCATTTTTGACCTCTCCAAATGAATAGAAGTCATGTACTAATTTTACCCCTGGGTCGAGTGATGAGGAAATTCGTGTGAAGTGCCTTTCCCAGGGAGACAACGTCTAGTGAAGAATGCCAACTAGGAATCGACCTTTCGGTCTCGCTTTCGATAGTCTTACCATTCGGCCATCCGAGGCAACCAACATAAGATACTATAGTACAAACAGAAGATACTATAGTACAAAGCTGATAACATAGAATTTGAAAATATCAACAGCAGACTGTATTACGTGCTTGTGGCATTAATATTATATTGTGAATTGGGACATTTCTTAATGAGATAAGAAACGCATAAGATATAAGTGATGACCTGTGGCATACCATGTGGTCAAAATTGACGACGTTGTTAATGTAGAGCAGGTTAGTCCACCAGTTTGTCCCACAGACCGGGTCTAAGGCCTCTCCGGGCCAGACGGGGCCAATGAACATGTACGGGTACACACACAGCCACATCATCAGGACAAACGCGTAGGGCATCGTTAGTCTGCCAGAGAAAACAAACAAACAAACAAACTTGGACATCGAACGGAACGGTATACAAGATGCCATCTACATCAGGATAATGTAACAATCTCGAAACAAAGACGGGGGTGCCACATAGTACAAACTTCCTGAAACCTATTATATATATACTGCAGAGCATGAAAAGTGTCGTGGCAAACCAAGGATTGGCAAACCAACTGTATGAAACTTCTTACCTCCAGTATCTGTGGACATACATCATCCAGTACGGGACCGACTCTCCCTTGTCTCTGCTCTTCTTTATCTGCCTCAGGAGGAGGTAGGCGGTCAGCAGGCCACTGGAAAGGCAGATCGAGACTTAGTCTGGATGTCAGACTGTATCCAAAGCCTACCCTCTCGACTCAAAGATCGTCAATCCAAAACTTAAGAAATTTTACCACAGACAAAGTCTTGAGTTAGCTTAACTCCTTCAGGACTGTCTGTGGTAAAATTTTCTTGGGAGCAACCTGGCCCTGAAGCCGAGGAGCTGACCTGTGCAGGGCCTGGAAACAATCTTGCCTCCAAGGCTAATTAACACTTGGATTGTTGTGCGTGTTTTGTATATTCACCAAGTAACAATATCAGAGTACATATAATGTGGTAAAGAGAAATGCAGGGGAGGTATGAATACTTTGTTCTTTACATACACCACGCAACAAGAGCAATCTTGTGCACTTGCAATGTTGCCATTTGTAAACATGTTAATTAGTAGACTGATTTTAGACTTCTCATGGCCGTTTCAAACAGAGAACTCTACCGTTATGGCGGAAGTCTATGAAATTAAAGATAATTGCCTCACCTTAGGAAGAAGAAAGTATCGACGGAGACGAAGGCGTTTCCCACAGCTTGAAACGTGAACTCTCCTATCACACCCACAACCTCCCCAAAGTTGTCTGGGACAAAAACAATACGATGTAAAGTTAACTACCGGATTTTTTCCTAGTGTTGACAGCAACTCCAAAGAGTATGCCGGGTTTGGTGGCGTCACCGTCAGTCATTTTATGAACGTTACCGTCAGCAGATTTTCCACCCTTTTCAGCGCCTTGGAGAAAGAGATTCTTCCCACACAAACCCAGCTTTTTAGACTGCCTATCCAGAACCGTACCTATCTAGTTCTACGACTGAGAAGGGATAGATTAGGATAAGGCACAGTTCTGGATACGTTCTGGATACGTGTTTAGCCATGGTTCTGGCGTAAAACAATCTTCAACGGTTCTGACAACAGAGACTATCCAGAATCGTGCCTGATCCCAACCCTAACACATTCAGGCATAGAGCTAGATAGGCTCGGTTTTGGAAACAATAACAGTCTCGCCTCTGTGGCATTCCTTCCAACTGTGCCAAAGAGTGATCACCTACCGGTAACTGGCGAGGCGAACGCGAAGGTGTGACCCAGGATGACCCAGCTCATACTGATGAATCGCATCCCGTGGAGGCACGTGACCGCTCCGGGCGCCTGATTGGTGCTGAGGAGCTTCCCGATGTTGGTGTAGGGGGAGAAGCAGAGAAGAAGTCGACAGGACACACCTGGGGGGGGGGTGAAGATGACACCCTGTAAAGTTGTAACTTCATTATGCTTACCTTTGCATATTTTCGCTGTTTTGTCCTCTAGATCTACTTCTTCATCTCTAAACATAACATCATGTAAAAGTCGTAGCTTCGTCATTATGCTTACATTTGCAGAAGGAAAACATGTTGCTTTAAGTTGCATTCAAACATAAGGTCAATGACCTGGGCCAGACGTCTGTCACCATGGTAACTGGTGCTGCAGAAGACGCCCTGTGGCGTTGGGTTATGTCATGTGTCAATGGTAGAACAAAGTTGGAAAGGCTAGTCGCCACATAGATGAATGTGCTTGAGTAAGAATAGCGGTAGTGTGTTGAACTTGGCCAAATAATGATAAACATTATGGATTTCCCTTACAAATTTTATCTTTGTAGTCAATTCAAGTCATGCTAGCATTCATATTGTAAAGAAGGATCTTTACATGTAATGGCCATTGCCAACAGCAATAATATATAATATTACGCCATAAACTCAGCGAATTGAAAGTAGTTCTTGTGCTGGTCTTACTTTCTCTCTTCGTTGCCACAGCTTCTATTTGTTTCTTTTTAGTCGAGTTGATGAGATGAGTTCGTTCATCCGGCTGCTCGCTGTCGACATTTTCATGCATCATTCTGCCGTTCCTCTCTTCTTTTGGATCCTTTGAGAAGAAAGAATACAACACAACTTTGTGAACATCTAGACACAGCAGGCAGGATTAGGGATTACAAAGATTTAAAACGCTAGACCCGTGCACAACAGTAAAACAAAAGGTTCGCTACTAATTTGAACCTTAAAAAGTTAACTTAAAACGTGCACACTAAAACACATTAAACACATTTCTTAAAGTTCTACGCTGGACAGTTGTGACGTGTGAACATACCTTATTGCCCTGGATGGCGCGTAATCTCGGCTGGTGGATGATGACGTCATACGCGGTGCCCATGAGAATGAGCGTCAGGAGAATGCCACAAACACAGCTGAAGGAAGGAAAACATTACTTATGTTATCAGCTTTTGCAAAGTGGTTGTACTTGATAGCACTGACTTCGGATTGTATTATGCACCGTCAAGATATGTCAAATTATATGTTAATTGCAAATTGGATGAAGATGCTGTTTTATATGTAGGTTAAAATTGTCAGACAAGGGAGTAGTCAACAATCAGTGAACGGTGTTGTATGTTTGTTGCTAAGCTACGTGTTTTACAATGTACATGTAATTGCTACAAAAAATCTTCAACTATCATTGTGGAGGACTTTTCTTTTTATATTATCTATGGTCACCACGTAACACGCAAGGTTGGGGTTACATGAATAGGACGGTAACGGTGTATTGTCATCTTAGACTAGACGTAAAAGAAAGTCTCACATAGCAGCGATGGTCTTGTTGTGCATGGGGGCGTATTCTGGCGAGTACGCTGACGTCACCTGCAAGGTTCCTCTCTCAACCAGGAGCCGAAAGTACAGACCTGGATGGAACAGAGCAGTGACCGAGTCAATGCACATGCGGTATTAGGACTCGCGGGTTCGATTCCCAGAGTCATACTCAAGGCCGTAAAATGGGAAAGACTGGTTATCAATTACAAAATTAAAGGATGTGTAAGTATATGGAAGTAGCGCACTGTTTATCAGCAGTGGACTATACCCCCCCCCCCCTTTACTAGCACAATGTGTGGGCAAGGTCTGGGGAAATGGATAGGTGCAGCCTATTAGGCAATACGCCATATAGCGCGGTATATTTTCGAACATAATGATGCCCCAAAACGTATAGAGATTTTAAAGCCATTTTCTTTCGACTAAAACAAGACAACACCTGTGCGTACATTTCGAGAGGGTATCCACACAAAGCATTTACTTATCAATAAAATCAATACATGTACTGTCAATTTTTCTATCAACCTTAACCATATCCAAGCTGTAAGCAAATAATGATTTTTTCTTTATTTTTTTTTTTTATTCTTCCCATGAAGTTCCTCTTGTTGACACAAAGTTTTGACTCACTGTTGTCCAGCCTCTGTATGACGTCATGAGTGGTACAGGAGCTGGGAACACACACGCCCAGGTGCAGCGTGAGCGCACCCAAACCTGCTGCAGCCTGGAGAGTACATCCAAACGTGTGGAGATCTCAAAACTTCTTATCGAACGGCGTGCATATCACTAAGCTAATTACCTCTTCGAAAAAGGTATAACCGTAACGGTTATGTTTAGATATGTATTTTACCCTCAGCATTTAACTGAAAGGTACTTCACACCTTCGGCAAATACAACATAAAATTGGACACTTTTGCTATTTTTTTTTTACCCAAAATGCATATTTTGTCCCATATGTCAACCAAATAACCTGAAATTTGATACATTTGGCATATACCCACAGATATCCATTAACACATTTGTCGTACACAACTTCAAAAATATGGGGCTATTAAAAAACTAAAAATGCACATTTTGCCTCCTTTAATTTGCCCTGGTATCAAGAGTAAATAACTTGAAAATTTTCAACTCAACAAAGTAATAGTTTGCTTCATTCACAATTGTTTATCTTTTGACGTAGGATGCCTCTTCATCTGTCTAGGGGAGTCGGCCTTGGAGAGGGACATACTGTTCCTGTTGCCGGCTCCCATTCCCATTCAAATTTTAATACTGAAAACTTGACTAAATAAATAAAAATAATACAATATATCCCCTACCCCGGCTGATGGTTGCCCCGGCTTGGGGACGGGTACCAGAGTTGTCAAGTAGTACTTAGCGTCAAACGTGATGCCGAACCCCTTCTTGGTGACGTTCACACATTGTGAGTAGCTGCCGAGCCAGTTGAAATTCCCTTCCAGAATCCCGCTGGGAGGTTTACCACCGGCGTCCAGCACTGTGGAGATGTAGGGTTGGTATTTAAAACACTACACATACAGTAGGCAAATCTTACTGAATCTTGGGTTATTCTATTGGTTAGAAATACTAAGTGCCTTCACAAATACTGTGTACTTCCACGGAAGAAATTGAACACCATGAGTGTTTATAAATATATGCCTGTTTTATTCCTAAACCCCAAGGCTAACGTTTTGCCAAGGGATAGCTCCGCCGTGGGAGAATGCTACAAAGTGCGCAACTGTACAAACATTTTATCATTTAATTTTGTAATATAGTATTATGTGCAATATCGTATGTCGAACTTTTTTCCGTGCACTGGATGCAATCGCCTTTGGGAGGGATGGCGGCTGTGCTTACAGATATATGCCGCATGTTTGGTTACAAAGCGCCCGTAGTTTACTCTTCAGTCAAATATTAACACAGCCTGGCCACATGTTTGCGATGCTGGCAATAGTGTGCCTTAAATACGCTAGCGTCATTAAAATAGTGAAAATGTTATAAAATCGACAATTCTGTGAGGTACATTGTATATTGTAGGGCCAAATTATCTAGTACATGCTTTCAAACTAGTAGTCTAAAACACAAATCTTTACACTATCAGTAATGCTCTTTTTTGTTTGTCATTTCTATAACGGCTTTGACAATAGGGCTAGCGAACGATGCCGGCAAGACTACGTACATACACGTTGGTAGTTACTTATAACGGACTTCAGGCAGTGTAAAAATGCCAATATCCAACCATTTATTGCCCTACCCTGTAAAGAGTATTGTGTACAATGAAGGGACCTGAGAAGATTGGTTTTACAAGTTTTCTACTTACTGTTGAGGGCGTAAAATTCCCCATGTAGTAGGTCTTTCATGTACTGTTGGACGTCGTCCCTGCACTGCTGGCTGACGTGACCAGTCGGCTGAGCTGGCACCACGATATCCGTCCAGTTCGTCTCTGTCCTTAAGACTTCGGAAGCCTGGTGCTGGATAAGACCTTCTGTCAAGACTAAGTGGGAAGTCTGCCTTTGTATGAGCCCGCGCGCCTGGAAACTGGCGGTGAGCAGCTCCACCTGGCCCGGCAAGTCCAACACGCGCGCGAGTTGGCAGGTGGTCGGGACGAAGCTAGCCGACAATAAACTGAGACAGAGAAACAGCTTCATGACTCTCGTAAGTACCAAGAAGGCTGGGATAATCAAGAACACGCTCGCTCGATCCAAGGTGTCACAGGGCACGAAGGTTACCGTCCATGACGTAACGCACCCCTTTTGAGGGTTTCGTCACCCTCACGAGTGACCGCCAGGACGATGACCTTTCGCGCCTGTTCTGGACAGGTGAGCGCGTGCGTTTGTTAACAGGGGCGGTCTGTTGACACATACTGAGAGATAAAAGGCCTGCCGAGAGCCTTTGTTGGTCGATGAAATATTGCTGAGGACAGGGGTGAGGCGATCCCTGTATGTGTGCGCATCAGATCCCTGTATGTGTGCGCATCAGATCCCTGTATGTGTGCGCATCATAACATGATAGTAAGGATGATATGCTAAACATGACATTTGCAACAACAAAAAAAACATGTAAAAAGTGTTGCGAGCTTAATTGGTCTGTGAGTGATGCGAGCGTCACTGTTTGGTACGCCTATGGATCTAAGGGACTTAGTTAAATTGCGTCCCTTTCTTCTCGTTTTTTTTCTCTTTTGATTATGGAATCATGCAATCAATGTAATCTTCAGTCCCAACGTAAGTACCAGACAATCATTGTGGGCGTAAAAAATATCAGAGAACATTTAAAACGCTATATTTCGGGTAAACAAGTTGGTGGCGAGAAGACGGCTGCCTGCGCTGCGATGGAGGAAAACGTCTACAAGGAGGCCTGTAACGTCTACAGCACCTGTAACGAGGATGCCAGCAATGAGTACGAGGAACCCTGCGCGGTCTCTCCGTCAAAGGTTTCAACTAGAAAGAGGGCCTCCGGCCTGGACCCCGCACAGGGAGCCTCAGCCTCATCAAAATTGCCAGGTAAGGTTCTGTAAAGATCAGGAATATATTAGAAGCGCCAAAAATTCTTACTACGACATACGCACTCAGACGTTGAGCAGGTTACAGAGAAAAAATTGTGATCGTCACCTGTTATGTCAATCCTTGCACAAATGCAATATATCGTAAGAAGGAAGGGTTCTAAAACGAGACTGTAGAAATTTTGTAAATTTTGCAAATTAGGCCTTCATACGTCCTTCTTTGCAATTGTAAAGATAAGACTGTCTCTTGGGTTGATAATATGATCAACTGAAGTAGTTTATACAAATAAGGATATTATTTGCATGATTTATGAGAAAAATTCATAATTTATTAGAAAGGCCGACATCTGCTCAGGAGCAAATGCCTGCAGCAAATGGCTTCACCGCATGCCCCGTACCAACAATTGACCTATCCCACTTCACAGTGTGATGAAGTCATAATGATATGTTTCACCACACCACGAAGCCATGATAAGTCATACATGTTAAAATCATTCGGTACAGGTATAGTGTCTCTAGTATTATCTTGGAAGTTCATCTGTGTTGTCATTTTGGTAAAAGTAGTTATAAGAACAAGTTTGAAATTTAATGGCCAATTTTATGGTAATGGTAATCGTAAATTTGGGTGAGTCCAATCTTCTGCGTTGGCCATCACAGTTCAAACCTGTTTCATAGTGTCCTAGTTGTTACGGTTTACCCCAGCAGCAGAAACGTGATATACTGAATGTTGTACATTCTTCAGGTTCGTCTGGATCCAAGCCTAACGACAAGCGCCAAGCGGCCGACCCCGAACCTGCCTCTGCTGAGACCGCTGGGTACATCCCAGGGGTCGGTATGAGCAGCCCTGGTCAGTCCCGAGTCTGGACCAGCGCCTTGTTGAAAACCTACGCTGTGGTGACAATGGTCCTGATTTGCTGTCTGCTGGGAGTTACCATCTTTCAGGGTAAATAAATGAACAATGTATTGTTTTAAAATATTGTTAGTAGAAAATGATTAAAAACCGAACCTTCATTAATTATAATTGTCTGACAAAATGTCCTCTTTCCTACATTATTCGATGTTCTCGTCCATTTATACAGCTATGAAGATGTCTGACCTGAAGATGACAGTCCGAAAGCTTGACCAGCAGACAAAGGGCGATCTGAAAGACCTGAAGCTGTCAGTCAGCAAACTCGACCAGAAGACAACTGATGATCTGTCGGGCCTGAAGCTGGCATTCAACAAGTCCGACCAGAAGACAACTGATGATCTGTCGGATCTGAAGCTGTCAGTCATCAAGCTGGACACGAAGACAGCCGACATCCAGGCAAACGTCTCTGGGTGGATTCATCGCCAGCAGGTATGAAGCAAATTCTTTTTGTAAAACATATCATGGCCTGGATGACATATTGGAGAGTTGTTGAATTCAAATCGATGTGTTACTAATTTTAACAGTAAAATCCAATATTATGAAATGATATACTACCACTAAGATGACGAATTGACGTACCGCAAATCTTACTGAGCTATATTCATTGCTTCCATCCATTGCGAAACATGGCTGTAAAGCAGGACATTTGATTGGTTGTGTGTATATACCAGTCATGTTGCAGTTACCTCTTGTTACTTTTATGCATTATCAATTTTGGTTGAACCTAAATCATTATTAATTAACATCTATGTTACATTTGATTTGATTTCTGTACTGTGACCAGTACTACTTACTTTCCTGTATTTATTTACTTATATACTATATTAAGTTATCATTTATGTTATATCTGATTCTGACTCTCTGTACCTTTCGAGTTGTTATGATTTTATAATTGTCGGTGTCTTATAAGCCCATGTGGCCTGGATGACGTATGGTTGAAATCACACGTAAATAAACATTCATTCATTCATTCATTCATTCATTCATTTACAGAAAATGAAAGAGGACGTGTCGGCAAAGCTCGTGGAAAATGAGGAAGCTGTGAACAACGTTGCAGCCAGCGTGACACAGTTGACCAAGTCAGGGCTTGAGAGGGAGAAGATACTGCACCGTCTGGAGAAGCTGGAGGACAACATGAAGAACAAACAAGACAAACCGGAGAAGAAGCGCACTCCGATACGCCTACCAGGTAGGAAGGTTTCATTATATGGTGACGAGTGGTTTTATTATTCATTAGCCCGTCTCCATTCTATTATTCATTAGTCACGTCTCCATTCTTCTGCCAAATGCATCATTCCCTTTGTCGGTTAAGTACAAATTATTGACTTACTAATAACTCCTAACACAAAACTCAAGGAAATAAGAAATATATTTGTCCAACAAAAACTAGCTTAAAGACTTCGTGTTAAGTATGATTAAGATGTAGAAACAGGTGCATGTATGAACCTGCCAACTAATTCAAAAGGAGCTAAACCAACATGGAAAGTGTGGACAACGATGACAAGTACCTGAAATATCTTGAAAGTAGTTATTACTTCAATCTAGCAGTTCAAAGCTTTGGATTTTGATCCTTGTTAAAGGTCAAGTCGATCACTTCAAAATTAGTGAAAAAAAACAGAATTGCACAGAAGAGACTGTGTATTCAACAGTAAATGTGATATAAGTGTCATGTCTCTCAAGACCAGACATTTCCTGTTTTAGCGACCTGTCCAGACGGTTACAAGAAGCATCTTGAAGTCTGCTACAAAGCCTTTGAAGCCTTGAAGACCTTCTCCAAATCGACCGAGACCTGTCGGGCTGACGGAGGCACCCTCGCCATGCCCCGTGACGCCGGCATCGACGCCTTCGTCGTCTCCCTGATGAAACAGAAATTCGACTTTTGGATCGGCTTACACGATAAGCGACAGGAAGGCAAGTGGGAGTGGATAGACGGCACCGCTCTGGGGACCGGCTACAACCGGTGGGGGTTCGGTCAACCCGACAACTATGGGGGGCATCAGCACTGCGCTTCGTACTGGGGATCGTACAAGTCTCCCTCGTTGGTCTTTTGGTATGATGAGAATTGTGACGACAGCTACCGTTTCATCTGTCAAGTCCTGCCGTCAGGTTCGTATTATTTTACAAACTGATATGATATTTTATGAATAATGCAGACATGTCGAGTTGACAGATACAAGTACTGAGTATACAAACCTTTATGGTTTTTTTCAAAGTACTATCAGTATGTAGCTAGTAGCACTGACTTGTCAAAATCAATAATTTGTACTTATACATCGTGGGAACATACATGTATGGTAAAGCCATCGAACAATAATAAAGAATGGCAAATGAGACATAAATGCTAATTTATAATGCTGAAATAAAGTAAGCAGACAGGAATATAGAAAATACTGAGAACGGCTCTTTGCTAATCAAAAATATTTTATTCATCTGCTCCAGGCAAGTAACCGGACGCCCATGTATGGAAAGCGGCCCAGGCTACAGTCGTGAAACGTGGGTCTCGACATCCGGGTGTGGAGACGACTTAGAAGTGACCTAGGCGTCACATGTAGAAACAGCCAACATTTTAGTCTTAGGCAGGTTTGATTCCACGGACAGGGCCACGGCGCTAGTCTGCTAACGTAGGAACTAAGGCTTTAAATTTTTAATGTCTTGAGATGACATAAGAGTTCACAATTATTGCACTGTTTCAGATTTTCACCCGGCAATTTTTATGATAACAGAATAACCGATGCAATAACTTAAAATGGTCCAGCGTTAGTTCGCCTTGCATCCAGAAGATCGTCGATTCATAACAATGTCTTCTAGAATGATTTCATTTTTCAGCGGTTCTGCCCAGTGCAGCACCATATAGGCCTAGGTTTGTGGAGGACAAGATATGAGGGGCCGGTCAATACATGTATATGGAATCCATGTATACACGTAGAATTGGTAAGAGTTGTATACAAGTTGCCGATTGTATAATGAAAGGATGAAACCGTGGGTAAAGTACAATGGAAGAGAGAATTATTAGCGTTATCATTATTGTTCATCTTACATGAGAAAAAATAAATAAACATGACACATGCTGAAAGAATGATAAAAAGCCTGCCGCGACCCTTGGTCAATAAAATATTGCTGACACTGAGGACATGGGTGAGGCGACCCCTCCCCTGTATGCGTGCGCGTCATAACATAATAGTAAGGATGATATGCCGGCTAAACATGACCTTTGCAAACAAAAAAAATCATTTAAAAAGTGTTGTGAGCTTAATTGGTCTGCACTGCGAGCGTGCGAGTGGCGCTTGGGACGTCACTGTTTGGTACGCATATGGATGGAAGGGAGACGAGTCTTCCCTCGCGCGCCTTTCTGTGTTGATTCAATTCATGTAATCTTCAGTGCCAACGTAAGAACCAGACAATTATTAAGGGTGTGAAAAACAACAGATAACGTTCAAAACGCTACATTTCGGGTAAACAAGTTGGTGGCAAGAAGACGGCTGCCTGCGCTGCGATGGAAGAAAACGTCTACAAGGAGGCCTGTAACGTCTACAGCTCCTGCAACGAGGATGCCAACAATGACTACGAAGAGGCCTGCACGGTCTCTCAGTCGAGGGTTTCAACTAGAAAGAGGACCTCTGGCCTGAACCTCGAACCGAGAGCCTCAGACTTAGCAAAGGAACCAGGTAAGGTTCTGTAAAGATCAGGAATATATCAGAAGCGCCAAACATTCTTATCTGCTATATACGAACTCAAACGAGAACAGAAGGGACAGTCGACAGGGGGCTGGCAATGTTTAGTCTCGCTCGGACAGTATTAGCTAGACCTGAACTCTATATCCGGTTCAATATGTTAGTTAATGTTTTTACATGTATGTATACGTGCATAATTGTCTCAGATCATGGATTCTGACAGTCAATGTAATTTAACGTCGGATCTT